AAGCCAACCCCTGTGCCTTTGTTGTTCTCCTTTAATTCTGTTAATCGCCCCCAGGTAAAGATTAGCTGCTCTTGCCAATTTAATTCAGTCTCAAATGATGCTGCTACAAGGTCACTTTTTCTTTTCTTCCTCTGTCTCTTTATTCACCCCCTCCTTGCATCCCCCCCTCTCATCCCTGCTCCCCTTCTCCTCCATTTCTCTTTCCGTGAGCAGGATTGAGTTGTCATGTAGTTCTAATAGGCAGCACAGGGAATCATTAGTCCACCTCGGCTCCCTGACTGATGGGTATTTCACTCCAATCATCTGAGTGCTGTGTGTGTGTTTGCGTAGGTGTGTGTATGTGCGCGTGAGTATACCCCCTACCCCACACCCCCACACCCTCCAACGCATACACGCACACACACATGAATCCTCCACCACAGACAGCACCACCGCCCCCCACCCACCACTGCATTGTGTGCCTGCTGCTATTGACAGAGTGTCAGAGCTGAGGGGAGATGTCTTAATCAACTTGGACACACTGGGCATTGATTTGACAAGCTGCTGTAATGACCTTCTTGTTTTCGTAAAGGATCACTGTTTATCTGGGCCACGACTGATACGCTGAGCGTGCCTCATTGTCATGGAAACTATTATCATGGCTGAATTGGGATGGGGCTGTCTTTGGATCTCTCTTTTTCTCTCTCTGTCATTCTCTGTCACACACACAAACACACTCCCTTATACGCATATGCAGCTACACATACTGATATTGATATGTTTGAGGTGATGCAGTGTAATCACGTGTGTGTGTGTGTGTGTGTGTGTGTGTGTGTGTGTGTGTGTGTACTGTATAGGTGTGCATGTTTGTGCTTAAATATGATGTTTAACACCTCCAGTCAAAAACGTCGGGGGTCAAAGGAAAATGCTATAATTGGTGTCAACGTGTTTTCGCATCAATGTTATGGAAATCATTACAGACTGGATGGATTGACTGACAAGGCTCAATAATCCCCAAGACAGCTGTTTCATATACCTGCCCCTCAGCTCTTTTGGAGAATTATTTTAAACATAGCAAACAATGTAGTTCATTGATTTATTAAATGACCCATAATGACATCTCAAACAGACAATTAATTTTCAATGGGGAAATGAACCAGCAAAAATATATCTATATAGTAGCCTACTACTTTAAAATCCACTATTTTAATATGATTCTCCTGCTTGGTCTGATGTTAGGCCTAATCTTAGACGCTATGTGATGTTGATTTTGTTATATATATAATCTTCTATCAGCCAGTGCGTGTTTAAAGATGAGAAAGATTAACTGTGTTTTTGTTCACTAGCACATGAACGGTGTTGTGCTCCATCACCTGGTTCATGGCCACGGGCGCACCCTGCTGCCTTGAGAAGAAGACACTCTGCTGAGTCGATTTGCAGGGATCTCAGGTTCAGGGTGCTGTCAGCTTCTGTCAGGGCAATCAGCAACACTCAACCTCCCCTGAATAGCCCGCACAGCAGACGGTAAATATTATTGGCATTCTGACACCCTCTCGCTGCGACCAAGTGTGTAAAATTGTTAATAAGGAACATGATGGTGCCACTGCATGCTGTCGAGAGAATGGAAAAGCTTGCTCTTGTTGGCAATTATCCAAATAACAGGATGAGGCGTCTGAGGACAGGTGATTTAAGTCCTTAGCAGAGTGGTGGAGAGGTTTGTTTTGGCAGGGAGGAAGTGAGGAGAAGTCACAGAGGTCACATGGTAAACATTGTCCTTGTGCTATATCCATCAGTATAACTCCTTATAAAATGTACATGGAGACCCTTGTATGCACTGTTTGGAAAAATTGCTAAAGACACTGTCCATAGACGAGGCACTTTAACACTTGAGGGCTATTCTACATTATGTATGATAGTCATCTTAACAATACTAATACAAGTAAAGGTTGTTATTGTGTCAGCTATAAGTATGACTGAGAACGAGCTGCTTGTTTACTGAAATCCACTGTTATTAGTTATTTCTACGACTCCCCCTGAAAGTCTCAATGTGACACTGCGATAAGGCAAACAGTATTCCTCCCCTTGCATAGAGCACGCAAGTCATTATTTTTAAAGGCGTAGTATCTCCAAGTCGCAGAAGGACACATTGATAGCAGAATAAAGTACACAATCGTAAACGTTTATGCCAGTGTTTCTCACTGTATGATTACGTTTTTATGGTTCATATTCTGATATGGCTTGTTTTTGCTGCCACCGCCAAAGCAATGTGACAGGCCCAGAGGTGGCATTTCTCCTTTGCTTTATAGGGGGAGAGATGCCTGGAGGAGAGTCCTGCTCGGTTTCGTTCGGTAAACACACTGCCAAGCTAAATGGCTGATCAATCAATTTCAGTGGGATCGATCTGCATCAGTTCTGCCTGCATGCACACACCCAGAGCCACTTTATTGTAAATCAATCATTTTGAAAACAACTCACAGAGGGGCCCGTCCTTACTAACAAGCCATCAATTCCAGCTGCCTGTGTAGCACCCTTATCAGGCCACAAATCAACAGCCACACAAACATCTGCTCCATTTCCATCGCTTTCCCCCTCTGCCTCGCTCCGTCTTTTACCCCCGCTCCATCCCTGCAGCTTGTCGCGTTTTGATGGTGTGTCTGGCGAGGAGAAGAGAGGAGAGGCTGCGAATCTTCACCACACCACTTAAGATAACCCAAGGGTAATAGTGTTTGCACATTTGAGAGAGAAATGAGGACAAATGCCAGGGTGGGTCATACATTTTCCTTCTGACCGGCTGTTTGACGTTGGAGTGTGAAATTGCACACTTCAGCTGAGGAGCATGGAAGAGGAGGAGGAGGAGGAGGAGCGGGCAGGGCCCAGAGACTTATGAGATGTCCACTGATTTCTATGAGAGAGGAGCAGGTCGATGTCTGAGAAGTCATCCTGCCTCATCATAACACCTCAGAAATTGGTGCTGCTCATGATGTTTGAAGGATTCTCAGGAGATATCTCAGTACCCTTGACACAGGCGACACAGTGTTTAGTGCGGTGTATCTAGAAGCAGATAATTTCAGTTGGAAAATTGCTGCGTTACATAAAGGTTAAAAATCCTTTAACTTTGGCACTGTTTAATGACAGTTTAACACTTATCACTGTCCAGGCTTTACTTTACTTAGATATGTTAAAGTTCCAACAAGGGGAAAGAGGATTACTTTCTCAATGTATAATTTGCCCCTGGAAAAACTGTATCTGTAAACCCAATCCACATTAAGATGCTACACATCACGATGTGATGCACAAACATTCACAGTGCTGACATGACAGCACAGCGAGATACCTGGTATGATGTCCTTTGCTCATCCACTGTCAGCGTCTCCATGGAGATATATGAGCCAATGTGGACAGAATGTGATTCAAATGCTATTCCCACCGTGGATCCCCATTGATTGACAGTGTGACAGGTGAAAGTGATGGAGCAGCTAATAACATGTCAGTAAACGTAAATCAAGACTAATGCCAGGCTCAGTGGATAAGCGGATTGGTGGGGTGACTTGGACCCCAGGGTCGCGACCCCTCTGCGGGGTGAGGATTGGTAAAATACAATATGCATTTAGCTCAAGCTTCACCCTGGTGATGGTCAAGGTCAGGCCCTGGGTCTACAGCAATTTGACAGTACCTGTCTATTGTATACACTGTGAAGAGGTGTAGTGACGATGTTAATCCACTGATATTTATTATGATTTTTGATGTAGTTGTGTTTTAAAAGTCAGTCACATCTGATCAAACCAGACCCACACAGTCCTGATGAAGCAGACTTTTTTTGAGTGTTAAACTCATAATAAATAATGCTTATGGATGATTTTTTCTGAATTATACTATTATATGATGAATTCATCATATATGACAATTGTATTTGTAGCAGGTCAGGGTGGTAGTAATTTTAATTATCTGACATTTATTTATAAAAATGCAACATACTCTAAAACTTCAATTAAAAGCAGGGTCACAATTAGACACAGGTCCCTTACTAGCCTGGTGTGGCTACATGGTTTGACAAATGAACAGTAACTCAGACGCCTGGTCTAGATTTTATAGAAACGCTTTGGATGTATAAAACCTCTTTAAAGCCCATCGGTCTCCCCTTTGAGTTCTAAGCTGCTTACATTGCCTACACGAATATAAATGTTTGAACTTTTGTCAATATGAACATCCTACACATCTTTAGATTGGTTAGATTCTCCACAATTCAATTGTGAATTCATTTTACAGAAACCATGAGCACCAAAGTATCAAATGAATTTGTAATTGAAATGTTAATCAGTAGCCTTTTTATACAAGTAATATTCATGGTTTAAATAAACAGTCTTAATCTGCAAAGTAACTAGAAGCTATAGCTGTAAAAGTACTTGTACTACATTTAGGAAGATCTATTGGCATGTGGAGTATATATGGCTGTGGCTCAGGAGACAGAGTGGGTTGTCCACTAATCAGAAGGTTAGAGGTTTGGTTCCAGTTCCTCCTGCAGCATGTTGAAGGCTCCTTTAGCAAGATACTGAACCCCAAATGTTTGGCTTTTCCATCACTTTATGAATGGGTGAATATGGCATGTAGTGTACAGTGCTTCACTAGAAAGTCGCTTTATAAGTACAGTCCATTTACCAATACTCATAGGTATGTCTTCATTAGTGTATAATTACCTGAATGTAGGAATTGTTATGTTTTTGTAAGCTTAGAATGAGCAGTTTTTATCTACAGATAAAATCGCCTTCAATGGAGTCTGCCATGTTTGCAAGTTTCACAGCCACCGTAGTTTCTTCTTCATGCTTGAAAGGGGAGGGAAGAGTGAAGCGAGGCAATTGCGATCTGCAATTGCACCACTGGATGCAACTAAATCCTACACACTGGACATTTAAGAACAGTACTTGAGTACTACCTACCACCACTGATTATTCCTGAGACTGAGGTAGTATATATAATATATAGTATACTGTATATAATGAGAAAAAATAATAACAAGGAAACTGTTTGGTTTAGAACACAAATACATCCATTTTAATTTGAGAAAATACAAAAAGAAACCATGTACAATCTATGTACAAACTTTTTGTACAAGACAGTATATTTATCAGCAGATTATATTTGACAGAGTCAGGTAGATCAACTCAGCACCATCAAATAATCAATTTATCCATCATATCTAGAACACATCCAAACTAATTAGACTGCTATGTCAAACTCCTGTTTGCTGAAATGACGATGTGCCAACAAATCTTATCTGTGATACGCAAGAGCAATGTCCTGAATTCTTCCTGAACTGATAGGCAGCCAAAAGAAATAACAAAAATTGCAACGTTTCTTAAAAAAAAAACATAAAAATTGCTGAATGCAATTTTAATGTATTATTAAGACTTGAGACCCGCCTCCCATCCCCATAAGTATTATATGTTCTATTATATCTAGTACAATTCCCAAATAAGTTATTATATCCATCCTTTACAGCAAAAAATAGAATAACAAAAATAATGCAACATACCGTAACAGTAACGTATGACGCATCATAGTCTTTGATTTGTTCAGTAGACAACAACACATCTGATGTTACAGGCTTTTGCCTCTATGTGCATCTTTCAGTCATCCATATCTAACTACACTACATGACACAACCTGATAACCTGGAACCAAGCACACAGCAGAGACTGTATGTGCAGTCTGAAGCTCCTTCACCCTCCTGAATGCCACTTGTCGCTATAGTGGGACTTAATATGGGCCCTCCTCTTGACCTACTGCACTACCTGGCACTATACTGGCATGGAGGCATTGATGGCTTGGATGTTCTCCATGTCAGTACAAGACACCGTTCTCACAGTGGAAAAACACTTGGACTCAGCTCCCACAAAAGGAGCTTGTGTCCCTGAATGACTGAAGGATGCTTGCTCAAATAAACTCTTCATGGCACTTCAAAAACACTCTAAAAACTTTAGAGGTATACAATGCAAAGACCTAAAACATCTAATAGAGACATATGACAAGGTGTAGAAAGGAGAGACATTTCAGTCCAGTGTTGTAAATAATTCCAGCCTTAATGAGTTGTACAATGAGGGTTCAGGTAGAAAAAGCACAGTAATCAAGTGTCATGAAAACAAATGGTGCATTACTTTGTGAGTTTATGTTAATGCCAGTTTGCAGCATGTACCGTTTTAGTTCTGAACAATGCTATGTTTAAGTACCTCAAAAAATACTCTGTAAACAAATAAGAAGCAGTTGTGGCAGATTGTGACAGATGACAAGCTGACAAAATGGAATGTAAACCCCGTAATAACACAAAGTAATAAAAACAGGAAAATTAAGGATGTTCTCTCTTTTGATAACCTTTGCTGAATTGGTGCTACCTTCCATCTTTGGGATGGCTAATAAACCAGATCAAATTCTTCCTGACTTTTAATTAATGGTCTCCACATTCCTCCAAAAATCCAGGATTTTTTCATTTTCAAGATACGCAATTGTCTTTTTTTCAACATAACAATCAGTTTGTCGATTCCATGAATAATGAGTCATTGCCATTATCAAATATTAATATTTCCTTATTGTTCAGGCTAGCAAGTTTGCTGTTAACAACCCAATTATACATACATTTTACATATTTTCTGAAAAGAAATCTATTTGCTACAAAGTGTGACAACGATGTAATCACAGTTCAAAAGTTCACTTCAGGACAATGTGTATGAGGCTTCAGTATAGTTGCACCACACCCAATAGACGGACATTGAAGCTCAGATCATTTTGTTTGAAAAAAAAAAAGGTGGTCTATATAATGGGTTGAATTTACACTAACATATTTAGCACAATATTGTGTTCTTTTCCATATTTCAATTTTCTTTTCTTTTTTTCTTTAGGATTACTTTTCCTTTACAACCTATAAGAGGTCTCCCTGTCATATTTGAAATCATATTTTGTGGAAAACACCAGCACACTGTGCTGTAGTGTACACCCTCTTCCTCCATACTAGGGACCTAATTTAGGTCAAACACATCTAATGAAGGTCATTCAGTACTGGCCTGCACACAGAGGGAGCGAATCTGTGATCTTCTCATTATTATCGTCACTCTGATCTGCTCTCCATTTAAATACAACATTTACCCCCCAAATATATAATTCCTTTACACCTATCTCTCCGTCTGCATGTTCGCAGCTAGGCATGCTTAGTGGTACACACATTATTCAGTAGACATGGCTCATCTGTGCAACTAAAAGAGGCTTCAGATGACCCTTAATTTATTTCTACAAGCACTCAACAGAGCTGAGCTGCCAGGCTGAAGATGGTGGTTTCACAATGCAAGCTAGTCTAAGCTTTATTGGCTCCAGAGTGATGCAGTTTGTTAAAGAGGGGGATAAAAAAATAATCTTTTGTTTTTAGTACGATGTGAAATAAAGGGTGATATAGTCCAACACAAATTCCTTTGATATGTAGTTGTAATTAAAGATATTATTTGAGTCTTTTCATCTCTGCTAGTACTTTACACTTGGTTCTGGAAAAATAAGTACAAATTGTTTATGTTTATGGATACAAAATAATTATGTTGAAATGTATAAAGCCAACTACATATTTGTATGAAGTTTATGTATTAGTAGTACAAGGCTACCACCTCAATCCTCGATCAGTATCACAGCTGGATTTGGATCTAGTCAGTGCCTAAACATGTGCACGCTCATCTCGCACACAGGCTAGCATAAAGAGCACAGGTTCCTCTCCTGTGTCCTTATTAGCAGTCTGTGGCAGTGTTGCATTTCCACCCAACTATGTTTGAGCATTTCCCCGTGTTAGAGGACCGAAACAGCAGCTTAACTCCTGAGAGTTTTGGGGCGTGTGACATCTGGATTGGCAACAGAGAACATCCAAGCTCTTTACTGCCTCTGTGCCAACCCTGTGCCAGGCAGTTGCTCTGATCAAAGGAGGACCCATTTATGCCCACTTTTATGCGATATGTGGCATTTCTTTCTTCAGACATTAACTTTTTTGTAACAGACAAAACATTCAGAAAATGCACCACTCTTCTTTGTGATCCCAATTCTGCCGCAGATATTACGGCAAAGTGTCAACGGCGGGCACGCATCTGCTGTTTGTGATAGCTCAATCATAGTTGGGTGGGTTTGTTTTTTGATGCAACATAATATTTTTTAGTTAGTAGATCCAAACCCTCTAGACTCTTCTACTGTTCTTTTCTAGCATGACTTTTATTTTTAGAGCAAAGATCCCACATGCTGTTTCTTTAAAGGTGCACCATCACATACAAGCCGATGGAGGAGCTGACAACACTGATCAGCGCAACACCAGAAGGACAAGTGGCTGCGATGCACGCACACACACGCACACACACACACACACACACAGCTTGTACATAACGTAAATGCTCCTGAACGCATGGAGGACAGGGTCGGTTGTTTTTTTACATCCTTCTCATGTATTCAGGTTGATCAACCACTCTGTATCTGTTATCGAGGGGCTCAGGCACATAACATGCGATAGGAGCTTAAAACAGAGTCACAGGCTTTATGATCTGACGTATCAGCAGAAGACATGTAGGTATAGGGTTCTCTTTCAGCCAGCAAACACCAACACTGCAACCATTCTCTGAGTTTTTAGACTACTGCTTTGCAAGATGATTTTGTTCTGCAGGACTGGACTGCTCTCACTCATCATGACGAGTCAACGGTGAAGTGGCAAACCTTAAGCAATGACATGATGTATAACAACCTAAGAACAAGATTAGTATGCCTCCGAAAGCCAAGAAGCCCTCTCTCCCTTCCCTCCTTCCTTCATCTCCTCAGTGAAGTTTTATTGAGGGGGAATCTGATGGTTCCAGTTGTTCTGTCAAAAGAAACTTGTTCAGTTTTAGTGCAAATAGAACAGAAGCAGACAGGAGATATGAAGTCGACGAGCCCAGCTGGTTTGATGTGACGCATCTGGGTGGATCTTTGGGAGATGATATGATCAGTTTATCGCTGCAACCCTCATCCTCAGATAACCAGCCACCTTAGCCATGGAGTCTGGTCACACAAAGAGGTGAACTATTGCAAAGAATTACAGGAAGTACTCTTTTTTTTTTTGTCAACTCTTAAAATAATTCCAAAAAGTGCTAGGGGAAGGGGCTGTACAATCCTTATTTGATTGTCATTATGTACATCACTATGGATACATTAATAAATAAAACAATGTCCAAGAGCATGGAAGTAACATTAAAGGTATACACATAGGAGGTCCCTTCCAGTTTGGGTTCCTGTCCAACCCTTGATTAGAAGAATGAGTGAAGAGAAATGTGTGAAGTCTTCAACATCCCTGTCATCATCATTATCATCATCATCATCATCATTATTCCTTCTTGGATGATCTCTTCCCATCTCCTTTGAAAAGAGCGTACAGATGTCTGGTGAGTCAGCAAGAAAACCCTGTGTTCAGCATTCATCTTCAACTTCTCTGATTGGTGGAATCAGACTACTAGTGGATTTGTATTGGTTGACTTGGTTGGCCATGTGGGTGCTCATGGGCTTGATCTGAATGTTCCGTGGGTAGGCATTTTCTGGTTCATCTGTAAACCATTTCTTTTCTGAAGAGGACAAGGTGAGAGAGGAAGAAGAGAAGGCAGAGTTAGTTTGACAAAATATGCAACGTGGGATTACTTACAACCATTCTGCCTCAGTTTAAGTGCTAGATTTGCATGGCATTCTTTGTGATTAGCATCAAACCGTGAGGTCCAGTTTAAGTTTGTTTTTTGTGCACTGAGCCGATTTAAATGTCATTGCCTAATCAAGTACAGCTATGTTAATAGATACCTATTTACTGTGTAACAACATATCATTTTAAAATACCAAACATCTATTTTAGATTACACAAAAAAAAAAACATCCTATGGGTATTGCTCAGTTCTTGTGCCCGTTACAGGGTCAGGTCAAGTCCAAAAAACTCCTACAACAAAGGAGAATGGAATTAAATTTGTGCTACTCCCAACAACAGTGTCCCCAGTTTTCAATGGAACTGCTTTCTACAAAGGAAATATTACCTAAAAAAGCTCTTAAACTAGTTCTGTGGATTATCGAAACTAGATTCCATTGAAGGTATCAAGCAGAAGAAATTTCAGAAGAGGCGCAGTTGCATATATAGTCAATGTAAAGACGCAAATGGAGGGCATGAATAGTTGCCTAGGGCTGCACAAATTGAGGCAAAGACGCGCACACAAGTTTAAAAAAAAAAAATCAAGCTTATCCTGAGGCCTCCATTTCATGCATGTACGGAGACAAAGAACAAGGACCAGAGGAAATTAATCCAAAGAGTTCCTGGTGAGTTGTGATGACACACATGCTGGTTGGTGCACATATTGCTAGCCAACAACAGCTAACGTCTGTACAATTGGTGCATAAGCTTTGTTGGGGGTAATACACATGGACCACACAAATACTCCAATTCATGCAATCTTTGAATTCTCTCCGACTATATTATAACAGAGAAACACTGTTTCTAGAAAGAGATGTTGCTGTTTTTAAATGTCATTTTTCAATGCTGTGAGCACCACAAACAAAATCCACTCTATTTCACTAGGCACCACTAATGTTAAGGAAGAAAATGTGTTTCTTTGTGATCTGGTTGAGCTGATCCTTTAAACTTACACATTTTATCATATCTTAAACACCCCCATTTTATAGTATGCTTTACTCTCAAGCTGACAGTCCTTATGCAAGAAAACACATTTGAATCTCTTCATGTTAAAGCAGACTATGAGAGCTCTGTTTCTCAACGCTATATAAGGGAAGGTAAGGGTGTATGTCAGCTGTCAGAAGTTTGTAAACTCTCCCAGCACATAACAGGCATCTGCAATGCCATTCAAGGTGTCACTTCCTTTTGGGTGAAGTTGTAATATCAAATTTTAACTTTGCTATGTGGAGCAAACCCTGTGTGTGTGTGTGTGTGTGTGTGTGTGTGTGTGTGTGTGTGTGTGTGTGTGTGTGTGTGTGTGTGTGTGTGTGTGTGTGTGTGTGTGTGTGTATGTGTGTTTGTGCACGCGCATGTTTGAATTGCGTTCATGCAAGCTTGCATGTGTGGGATTGTGTGTGTGTGTGTGTGTGTGTGTGTGTGTGTGTGTGTGTATGTGTGTGTGTCTCAGGAAGCTTAAGGCTGCAGGGCCATGTGTTACAGCACAGGCATTTGATGTGAAGAATTGTGCCTGAGGTGAAGCAAGATGTCTGCCATCTCTCTCCAGAGTCTGCTGCTGATACGGTGAACTGTGTCGCCTCAAACCACCATATCAGGTGCACAGGGTTACAACGAGGAAACTTACAAACTCATATCCCCCTTCAATTTAGACTTTAAATTGGTCACACCTCCCACTTTCTTGGTGTGACCGATGGCACAGGGCTGGACACACTTTCTTAAAGTTCTGCGAGGAAGTAAAGCAATTGGCTGCATCAGAGGGATTTGAATCAGCCTGACCTACATGTGAGCTATCATCTGGGTTTGTACAGTTGGGTAACAGTTTGTTACTCCGTGCTTTATGCTGATGCCAATACAATAATTAACTACTGTACTCAATGAGAGTATAAATATGACATCTAAAAGTCTGCTACAGTCATCTAATAGCATTCAATAGGAGGGAAGATGCGCAAACACACAGATCTCTCACACAATGCAAATCATCTCAAGTTGAAATAAATCATAAGGGATGATAAATGATTGAAATAAAAAATGTGAAAAAGGATTTGTCTGGAGGAAGAGAAAAAAACTGAGTTAAAGGCACAAAGAAAAGGGAGGAGGGGGGCGTTTCAACCTCATGCAATGTGGAGATGGTCCTGATCATGGCAGGGAGGAGGCAGGAGCAGCAGCAGACATTTTGCTTTCCAGATGAAAGCAAAACTTAAACTGAGGCATGGTTTACTTAACATCTGAAGAACATAATAAATAAAACAAACTCCCCTCGTCATAACAATATCCACAGAGGACATAGTTATGATCAGAACCCCAGGTAAAGGTTGCTAAGTCATGCAGAATCGTTAACTTGCATACCTTGGCCCATTCTATTCATCCTTGTTGCACTTCAGAAAGAGAGGTAAGTAATCTACTGTAAGTTAGTAGTATTTACAGTCAATACACAACTGACAAATGACTACTTACATATTGTTATTACAGTATTTAGGCTATGTCATACATCTTAATTTTAAGATGTATTGAGGGTTTAATATTTCTTGAGTACAATCATAACAAATCTGCATGCTTTTATAATATGTCACGATTCTTTTTTTTCATGAAGTTCAGTTAATTTATTCTCCCAGATGGAAATTAAATTCAAAGTGTATAATTTGGGGGGGGGAAGAATAAGAAGTACTTAACAGGTAGGTCAAAATATTTCAACAAATTTGAAATAATCTTATAATTGTATAATAAACAGAACAGGAAATAAGAGCCTGCTAAAGAGGGCTACCAACATGGACATGCAATAAAGCAGTACAGATGCACCATGAATAACAAAATATCAACACTGCTAATGAGGGATGAGCTTATGAGTAACATCAGTAATGTTAGCCAAATGTGCTCTGTAATCATTATCATCTATACAGTAGGTAAATCACAACACAATACATCCATGATCGAGGCTGATCATGTGCGCTAAATGTGCACAAATATCCAACAAACAATAGTTACTTACTACACAAATATTAAGAGTTCGACATGAAACAACTAAATATTAAGACAGATACAACAAGTAGACCGAACAACATACCGAATGTGTGTCGTGTGGAATTATGTCATTTTATGTGGCTGTGGGTGAGATCTTTACTGTAAGCTTGTTTCCAACCACAATGGCTGTGCCATCCAAACAAGTGGTTTTACTGTTTATACTGCCATAGACTTCATTTGTAAGAAAATAGTCTCAACAATCTTTGACTATAATAAATGAGCTCAGCTTTCCACAAAGTGCGTTTACCAATTTAATGTCATGTTATGATTGCTGTGATGTGAGAGTGACAACCACATGCAGATGATTATGAAGGAAATGCACAAACACCGGGCATGGACGCAGAGCACAAATCACACAAACAAACCACAAACACACAATACACAGTGTTTATCAGTGCATGTGTTCAGCACAGTCTGCACACAAACACACACACCTATAAAATACAGGTCAGGTATAAAAACACTAAACATGCCAACTAAAACTCCACAGGACATGTGAGTGCACGTACTTCTGTTTGTCGCGGGCCTCCCGGGTCTTACTGCTGCGGTTCTGCCGGTTGGAGGGCGGGATGGAGTGGACGGAGGAGCTCTTTTTGCTGGAGGAATGGGAGGAGTGGGAAGAGTGGGACAAGCTTGTCCGGGACTGGCCTGCGTTGTGGTCAAACTGCATGAGGCAGAAGATCAGGTCTGTGGGCACGAGCTCAAACTCATATGGTGGGTTCGTGATCACATACCTGGCCAGAAAATAAATGTTCGAAAAGATTGAACTTTCACGATTGTTGTGGGCAAGCAGCAAAAAGTGAAGGATGCATCAAAGAAAGAAAAGCATATATTAAGAGAACATTTAACGTTATAGTCCTAGCTGTAACACTGCAACTTCCAAATTGGTATTAATAAAGTACTATGTCTGTAATTGCTTATTTTATTACATCAAAATATAAATTTTGACACAAAGTGAAGGCAGAAATTGTACCGTTTTGTACACGGGCTTGGTGCATTGAGATGAGCATCTCTTAATCTGTAGATTCCAAAACACAGCATGTTGTACGTCTTCAGTGCTTTGCAGAATAAATCCCCGTAGCAGCCACCATCCTGATGAACAACAGAACAAAGACACCATCACTCAGTGGTCAATCAGACCGATGATCTGGATCAGTGGCAGTAAATGCAATTCTCTGTAAAGTTGTAGTGAAAATTCAATGTTCTGCATTACTGAGAGTATTTTCGTTGCGAGTGAATACCAACTGTTGGCAATGTAGACTGTAACAATTGTCATAATTCATCCAAGAAAAAACAAAATTACTTCAGTATTGGAAGTTCTGAATAACAATAACAAAAACCTGTAAAAACAAGGTTGGAACCAATTAAACTTGGAATTTCTTTAGTGGTGTTCATTGTTCTGCCTAAAGCCATCTTCCCTCTCCACCCACTAAGGCCTGCTTTGCGTGATCACTGTTCTTCACATTGGATTAAAGACCGCGAGGAGCGGAGGCGGCCAGATGTGTGCTGCTGGGTAGTGCCAAAACGTGTCATCTCTGCTTAAACATCCACTTACCCCCAAGTCGGCAAATGGCCCGTCGTAGAGCGCTAGTTGGGCAACGCGACACCTGTCTCTGTTGGCCAGTGTCTGCGGTGTGCTGTAGCCTCCTCTGAGAGCATTCTCCTCAGCCAGCAGGCCCTCCAGCTCTGGTGTGGCTCCTCCTGTGACCAGGGTCCGAATCAGCGTGAGGATGTTATCATTAAAGTATGTCTGGGGAGAAAACAGAGGGGATATTTGTAAGCAGATGCCATTAGAGTCACAAGTAGGGAGGTGGCAGATGTGGGAGGAAAGCACTGTCTCTTCACATGGAGTTGACTATGAGGTGAGGAGAAAGGCCGTGGAAGATTACAGAGGACTTTTTGTCTTTTGTACTATTTCTATGATGGCATATTTTCAGCAGTTTTAAAGGCTTGGTTCACCAAAATTACAACAACAACAAAAAAAAATTGTTTGTTTGATAAATTACATTGGAAACATTCAACAGAAACATGTCTTTGCATGGATATATTTGGATAGACCTCTCTATGTAAGTATTTACTGGACCTACTATCTACAGGCAATAATGGTAACACAGTTTTCTGTGGTCTATCCAAATCAAATTATTATTTTGTCACATGCATCAAGCACAATGTGAAGTGAAACAGAATTTGATCATGAGGTTATGATTCCATAGATGTTACAAAAATGATTTATGTGCAAACAAGAGCAATTATTAGAATATATATGTATAGTTAAATAGGTAAACCAGTAGAGTAGATGAGCATGAGTGAGGGGTGGACATGAAACAGCAACTCCTTAGCCTCTGTGTTATTCTTCAGCAGCACCTCCCTGATGGCAGCAATGAGAAGAGACCATTGTTTGGGTGGCTGGTATCCCTAACAATTGGGTTTTGTCATGCTGTGTTTCTGGTATATCTCCTCATGTTTGGCTCAAGCTCCTCCGGCTTCTGCTGACCGCACCACCCTCAGCGAGCGCATTGGTCCTGCTGGGTCCTGTTCCCAAACCAGTTTCTAATGTAACAAGGATACTTATTCTGAAAATAACTGTTGCTGTTCAATTTTTAAATGTCCATTCCCCTCCAATGGTTTGGGCTGGAGACTCAAATAAAACCAAATAAAACTACTAACTGCATGACTATATACCACTATAGATAAATAAGATATTTATTTTATTGTTAATTGGGAGGACAACCGTTTAGTTATTCACTGTTAAATTGTAAAAAGGTTTGATAATCATAGTATATGTGGGATTGCCATGTTAAATAAAACAGGTACTTGAAGACTATTCTTTCCTATAGGAACACTGCTCTACGTGTCCGCTTCCCTTCTGAAACAACGATTTGACTGCGCTCTGCGGGTGTCAGGTTCTCTTGTCCTTCAAGCCGATCAGGACCTGCTTTTGCCTTGTGTGAAGACAGCCGATGTCACTCGGCAGCCGGGCCAGAGTGGCAGCTCCTCTCCCCGGGCCCCTGACAGGCCTGCAGAGCCTCATGATGGATGAGCACTGTCCATTAGCTGGCTTCACCTCTGACCAGTGCCAGACTACAGCTGACGCCTGCGCTACTCCCTGCTCAGCTCGGCTCTGCACGCCCCTCTAACCCCTCACTCACCGAGAGGGCTGCTGGAATTAAGCCATCACAGCGCCAAGGGGAAAACCACAGTTGGTCATGAGAGGGAGGGGGCAGAGGAAAATGAGGTGTAGAGGAAGATTCTTTTCTCCAGCATCCTCCTTTATCTTGAGTGCAGCGATGTCATTGTCAAAAGATGAAAGAGTGTTTCTTTGGACTGTTGCAGCCAAGCTTGTGTCATCACCATTACGCTAACCTTCAACACTTACTTCCTTAAAACATCTAATAAAGCTCTTGAAAGTTAAATTCATAATACTTAAGATGAGGAGTTATGCCAACAATTTCCCTTTTGATGTCAGAGGAGCTGGCAGGCATGTGTGATGAATGTACTGTTCCATTTCATTTACCAACTTCTGCCTACTTAAAATGCCAAAACAGTGCATCTGCTGGATGCTAAACATAGCCTATTTTCTCTACTAGGGCAGCATTTGCTTTTTTTATTTAAACCAGCCGAAAGTCAATAGCGATTAGTAGATAATCTCATACTCCCTAACAGTAACTACTGATAGATATGTCTAAAAAATTTGAGTATTTGCAAATAGGTTTCTAGTTGAATGTGAAATAACAGAATTCTTTATAAAACAGTAGAGTACGACCACCAAAAGTGCAAAAGAAAACAGAATAAGACACAACATTCTAGGGTTTATAACATCTAAAGTTTTCTCAGGTCCATTTTTTTTACTCTGACTCACTTCGAAGTTGCTCACCTCTTTCCCTCATCCTGAAGTTTCTACCAGTGCAACAACATGCAATTGTTACCCAGTGGGCACAGCATCTCCAGTGTGAAACTTCTCTACATTTTCCCTTTGTGAAATTATAAATACTATATCGTTACAGCAACCAAACACAAAATAATTCAGAAAATCAAAATGATAAAATATGTTGCAAAATGTACGATTTTAAAAAGGTGATTTTGAGGTTTGGAAAAACACTCCAAGACAGCGAGTGTATGGCGTGTTTGAGAACTCACCGCACTCATCAGGGAGTCGAGTACACTGACAGCGAAGGCGGTGCCGCAGGCGAAGGGCTGAGTGAGGTACAGCTCTGTGTCTGGGTCGTCATCGTCATCTTGGTCCAGGAACTGAACGTTTGAGTCGTTCACTGAGAGAGGGGAGAGCGGGCGTTAGAGACGGGCACTGTGAAGAAGCGTGAGCCAAACACACACACACACACACACACACACACACACACACACACACACAGAAACACTGACACCAACACACCTGAGAGTTTAGAAATAATTAATTATTTTTAAATTAAGATTTGGATATATCATGGTAATGTAACAGAAATGTCTTAGGTATACAGGCATTACAGTCATCCAGGGTTTGAGCTTGTAATATAATGCAACAATAGATGCACATTATATTTTGCTCCTACACATTTTTTAATTGTAAACAGTTGCAAATATTTTAAAATGCAGAATTAAACTTTATTTCTTCTCCAAACAATTGACATAAAATACTGCTGACAGAATAACTTTTCACTCAGGTTCAAAATAAACTAAATTTGTCATTTGTTATATTTCTGTCCATGGACTGTTTGGAAGGTGAAAAAAGTGTTTTTAATTTTTTGAGAAATTATTTAGCATTTTGAATGTTAAATCTACTGTACATCACATGCAGGGTGCACTTCATACATTTAGACAAACCACAACTTAAGGAGAAAATATTAAAATATATTATGCATTCACAGTGATAACCATTGTAGAAGTCCCCAATTATTAATCAGTCATACATCTATTCTGCATTAGTACCTCAGAAGCAACTGTATCTTGATCTTTTTTTTTTAATTACTGCAACACAAAACCACATATATATTGTATATATATTATAAAACAAATTCTCCGTCAAGGGACAGTGATCAATCTGTGGTTTGTGTAGCCTGCATAAAAAACATGATATGATTGTTTTATAAGAAAAATAGCATATGGCTATTTCTTGATGTATCCAGTAAATATGGTAAAAAAGTGAGACTTCAACAATGGCTACTTTGTCACATGAGAAAATCATGCACTGTAAATTCATGCTACGTTTTTCAGTTTTCCTCGATGAATGTGTTCGTCACATCATCTCCTTAAGAGAAATGCATCTCAAATATTTACCTGTGCCCTGAAAGTCAAATTAAAGCCAGGTAACAACACACTTTTTTATCTCATGATTAATAATAATTTAGGTCTGCTAAATGAACTAAATGGCATAGTGGAGATGAAAATAACCCAGAACTAAAATAAAGAGAGCTCTTTTTCCCTGTTCCCATCAGCAGTGGGCAGTGAAGGGTCTATGAGCCAGCGTTACTTGAAAAAACGAGCAGCACATAAGTTTTTGTTTGACTCCTTCGATATCTGAGCTTCAGAGATATGGTCTGGAGGAGAAAAAAAGAAACTGGAAAATGAATTTAAAAAATAAATAAACAGCTTAAAAGATGGTTTGATCTTGAGTTTTTTGTTTTTGATATCTGATTTCTTCCCAGGCTTCCTGTGCGCTGTGGAACAGAAATGTCAGTCAAAGAGACAAGGGGCTGATGCAAACGGGCCTGGGCCAAAGAAGTGAATGGGGGGGTGTGTGTGTGTGTGTGTGTGTGTGTGTGTTTGGAGGAGGAAGGGGGGTGAGGGCGTGTTATGAAAACAGCCACAAGGACAGACTGAGCATGATCAAAAGCCTAGTGATGCTCTGCAAACGCAACTGGAGGAAAAAAAAATACCCCAAACAGAAGAAAAAAAAATCATTAAAAGGGGCCAAAACAAGACAGTCAATTTCAACCAGAAGGAAGAATAAAAATGTGTTCAAAGTGAAGCCATGGGAGCAGCGAGGGCCTTGACTGCAGCCAGATAAATCAAGACAAGCTGATGAGGAGCAGAGCGGCGAAGCGAGGGAACGAACGGCAGCAGAGGACAAAGGCACGGCTTACCCAGCTCTGTTATCATTTGTATGTTGGTTCCACTTTTTTTTTCCTGACTGAGTGAAACCAATGGCAGCAGTTTGCCAGGTTTAGCTAATGGTGATGAGACAGTGCAGGGGAAGGGGAGAAATGGTGTCGTTATTGAAACAGTTTCAAAGACTGCAATAAAGGCAATTCTGCTGTCTCCGACTACTAGTGTCAACTCCGGAATTACTCTGAGACATTCATGGTTGTCCCGGTATCTAAAAGTAAAGGACCCTGGATTAGAGTGCACAGCGGATACAAAGTCAAAGCTGCCACGGCGCTATACCACTACAACAATAAATTATTTTATGGTAAGACAGTGAAAGGGATAAACATGGTCTTATCCTTAAACACACCTACTTTACACGCCACGCAAGCAAAATTGATCATGCTACTCAGATGAGACGTGTTTTTATGTTTCAAGTTGACTTTAATCTGCTCCTGGCACTGTAAACTGAATATATGACAATGTAATTACTGTATGTGGTTCCAGTGAGACACGCAGCCACTCTCTCCTCTGCATGCTCTTACTTCTTCCTCTCCTGAAGGACAATGTTATCACATCTAGTGTTGCTGTGGCCGTGAAACTCATTAGCTACGAGCAAGCAGCTGGAGCTTGCAGCATCTGAGTCCCGTACAGCAACCGATGACTCCCAACACGGATAGCATGTAGTTTTGATGATTACGTATGCGGTCAACAGTAGAATGGGAGAGCCTCTCTGCAGGTAATGGCTGGCCCGGTTACAAGTAACATTAGGTAGCTCCTTTCTCTTTCTGGCCTTTTCTTAGCTGGCCTCATGCTCCATTGCTCCCTAATTGGGTCAGGGGAGACAGAGTAGCCAGTCTCTGCTGCTTTAGAAGGCCCCTCAGAGATCTGAAAGTTTCATGAGTCCCCACCACCAGTGGGAATACAGCCACTGCCATTGTTATTAATAAATGGGCCCATTTTGCAACCAAGGCAGTTTTTTTTCCCCTACCTTTTCACTCTCTTACCTTTTCTCCCACTCTCACCCTCTCCATCAGGCTGAGTTTGTCTTGTGCATTAGTGGACAAATTGCAGGAGATAGTAGCTATAGTCCTAAAAATGCCTGTCTGACATCCTTACAGTAGTCCGCACTGTCCACAGAGCAAAGATGTTTAGCAGTCCTCGCAGCTAACATTATCACCACTTGACAAAAGCCAGCCAGATCCGATAATTCACATACGAATATGAACTTGAGTTGGGCAAAGCTACAGACACCATGAAAGTGAACAAAAATTCCACAACAAGCATTCCTAAGTCCATTTGACCTTGAATGAGTTGGAACTTTTGGTAGCAGCATGACGCTTCAGTCTTGGATTATCAGCTTTATGTGTCTATGCCTGCAAATGAATAATGAGTTGATCTGAGGTTACTGGGAATGGCATGCAACATTTGCGCTTGAGGTGGGTGGAAACAGTTTTACCTAGTTCTGTGATGATGGGGATGTTGGATCCGGTGGTGACGGAAGCCTGACGCACAAAGCCATGTACTGGACTGCTGTCTGGAGATGACCTGTCCATTCCAGGGGGCGTGAAACCTGAAAAGCACATACAGATTTATAGAAGTCAGAAAATAAGTTTTAAGTTTCAGCCTGGAAAGCAAAATGTAAAACATATAAAAATTGATTTTTGTATTAGACTCATTATGATTATTTTACCCCCATAATCACTGCCATAGAACCCACATAATACCTAAAAACACAGACACTATGGCTTTGGCTAATCTTCAGGGAATGTGAGGAGGAAGCACAGAATCTACCTACAAAATGTGTTCTTTCAGCTTCCCTGTCCATTTAAGTTTAAGAAAAAATTAAATAAAAATAAAATAAACGTATTATTAAAGTTGAAAGGATTTAAATGCATGCATCTCTGTTTTGCTTCTTTTCTTCTACTTTTAATATTTATGTTGAATATGCAATATATAATATACAAAATACATTTAAACTGTAATTACCAATGTAGTAGTAGTAGTAGTAGGTAGTTGCTGAGATCTGCTGAGCTTGTTAGCAAGTTTTTTTAATTTATTTATCTATATATTCACTGTGTTTGTGCTTTTCAGGGAAGTACTGTATGTTGTGTTTTTTTTCTAGGTAAACAAAAATACAGTCCAAGCAAAAACCTTCACCTCTCATAACTGTTTTACTACAGATGTATCATAAGCATGAGGACGTGACCTGGAACTCTGTATCAATACCATTATACATAGTGCATGTCAGCTCACTCAGCATGAAGTTGTTGAGGTGTGCTTTCTGTGTCATGAATGTGTGGATTGACAGAAAAAAATGGAAGAAGACTGAGTGAACAAGGCAACTGCCTAAAAATTGCAATACAGATACTGTGCTTTTAGGGGTCAGCTAAGACATATTTAGCATTCGCATCCCTCCATCAACGGATAGACATAAATTTTATATGTTGTTCATTTTGTTACAATAAAATTGGCGAAGTGGATCCTGAAAACCTTTTATCGGAAATGGCGTGGCTGAGAACCATGAAATACAAGTGCAAGTGACAGGAGTATGAATTCACATGACTTCACATTTTTGCATTTCCTCAAAGTGACAAGTAAACACCTTAAATCTGTAATGCTATATGCATAATGCATCAACTGTGTTTTGACATCCATCATTTAGTGCTGACTACAGCAAAATGCCAGCTTATAGTGCCACCACCAAGGAAACATAATGCAGGGAATATATTCAGGTCACAAAGTTTTAAAAGGATTGCAAAATCTCCATCTATGTGTATGTGTGTGTGCCTTTCCTGTCAAGAAACTCAATGAGCTGCTTACATTACAAAAGAGATCACCCAGCCCTTTGCAACAGAAAAGACACCAAATAGTTTAGTACACAGCAGGAAGCACACACTAAACTGAAGCATGGATAATCATAACTCTTGTTATACCAATTATTGAACTTGGAAAAAGCAGAGGTTTGACACTCTGAGTCAACGAGGGAGCACAAGCTCAGACAGTGCAAACATCATTTTGTCGATGTCCATAAAGGATGATGTTTACTGCACTGGAGAGTGACAGCGAGTCTTTTTGGATACTGCCTCTAAAACACTGCTCTTATTGTATGATAGTGAACATGAAGACAGTACGGAGCAGTAGAAGAACAGCTTCCGCTTTGCGCAGTGTGTACAGCAGAGCAGGGATACATGAGGCCTGCTGCTGAGTTGCTTTCAAAACCTGTTAGGTTACAAACAGCTCAAAAGTTACAATGTGAGCTGGTGAGCTCCAAAACAGAGAGCTGTATGTCTTCCTAAGACAGAACCAGCACACTGCAAAACCTGAAGAGTTAAAATTTGTTTATCTCCATGATCAAACTATAATAATCTTCTAACAGTGAATCCTTGCAAGAATTTAATTCCACCATGAAACATTCACATGTATGACACATAAAATACTCCTGTATCTATTCATCAAATTAAAACTTAAGATCTATTGCAAAAACAAAATACTTTTTTTGTTGGATTTCCTAATCAGTACCTGTAATGTTACATGTCCTCAAGAAATACCTAAAAAACTGAAGCCAGAGTTTAAAAACCAGCCACACAATGCCTCATCTTATGGCTGGCTGTTGCTACTGTGAGACTGTAACCTTGTCTGTTCAGCTACAATGTACAATAGACAAGTGAGATCTGGGTTACATACCCCCTTATCCCTGTAGCCCCCTGGGCACAGCTACGTTCTGCGGTTGACTACATGCTACAGCAGCCGTGAGAAGCTCTCCCCCAGGAAAGAACATGTTTACTTATTCATTTGCACCTTCTTGTTTTAAATTCCACAGACAGTGTCTGAATGGGAGCATTGCTAGGAGGAAGGAATCCCCAAAGCAATACCTATGATACAATAGCAGCGTCTGGGTATGTGCGTGTGTTTCCTTGTGTATGCATGATTGCATGTCACTGTGGTGCGAATGTGTGTTTTCTAAAGTGAAGTATTTATCACTGAAATGGTTGGTTGATGTAAGACCCAATTATTGATGACAATAGGCTCCATCCATCGACCCTGGGAGAGGATATAGGCTTGTGGGCTTCCATATTGAGGTGACTTTCTGTGAATACTGCTCCCCAGAGCAGCACGCTCTAAGATTTACCCCTGCTTATTGTTCCTCGGTGGCACTGCTATCGACAGCACATCACTCACTCAAGGCTGGAGAAATAACAGCATTGGCATTCTCCTAAAACATGTGGAAGTGCTCTGTACTAAAAAATAACGGCCTCTTGGACCTTCAACTTTGATTTGTATTTACAACAGTCACTGTGGTGGCACTAAATAGTACTGAGCTCAAGGCATGTCATGGCTTTTGGGATAATCATAAACTGAGAATTACCTGTTTGTGGATGTGCGTGGATGGACTGCGTTGGCATAAATGTCTGTGTGTGTGTTATGAATGCACGTGCACAGGCATTCAAATACGAAGGTGTGCGTGTGTGCATGTGTCACTGTTTTGTTGTGACTAATGAGGAGCAGCTGAATTGGCCTGCCTGGTGATTTGTACTAGCTGCTTAATGATGATGAGGCCTGATGGGATGCCAGGTTCGTGTGTTTGTCTGCAAACATCAACAATCTGTTCCAGACGATCTGCCAGACACCAGATCAGGGGGAACAACATCAAATGACACAGTCATGTTGATTACATCATTAAAAAATATTATCAAGGAGGTTTAGCAGCATGTAATTACCAGGGACAAGACTGAAATCATCAGAAAATTATGTGGAGTAAACACTCTTCAAAGGCTTGATGAAGCAATCAACGCAGTGTTCTTCAGGAGTTACAGTAAAGTCAGTTTATACTGTAGATGCCACTTACAACACAGTATTTCAATTAAGAGCACTTAGCAGACTCTGTGCTTGACAAACCACATCCATCCCTTCTGTGTGGACTTCTCTACCCCCCACTCCCCCACCCCAGATCTTTTCCTCTCTTCATTTTCCATCTTTGACTGCTGTCTTTCCTCCCTGCCACAACCTGTCCCCTTTGGGCAGCAGTGCACATGGAGTCTAATAGGATGCTCCTTACCTTGGGAATTAGCCTGTAAGACCCCAATGCTGTCATCAAACTGCATAGATTTGATGTTGAGTGATGCCAAGATGCATTCCTTATCCTGCAGTGAGGCATCTTCGATATTGTTCTGATTGGCTGACAGTATTACGCACATGTCGCAGAGGTTGATGTTGACAGCCCTTAAATCTGCCCGACTTAATGGTGTACCCTTCAGGGTGAGGAGAACAGAGAGAGAGAGAGGGAGAGAAAGCAAAACGCACAGAACAGACAGACATAGAGGAGAGAAAAACAAATTTAAGAAGTGAGCGGAGTGGAGCTTTGGGAAATTAGTTAACAAGTTTTCTTGTTTTGAGGCGATGACATTCCACTGATCTAACTGGGCATTGGAGAATCAGAGACATGGACTAATCTAAAGGCTAGCCTGCGCTGAGGGCTGTGTTTGGGATTCTCTTCTGATCATCAGTCAAGCCAGGCCTAACAAGCTCTAAGGCAGCGAGCCATGCCATCTGTGATGGGCATTGCAGCTGCAACACACATAAACTCCACTTTGGATATGCAGGATGTGTCACTGCTCTGGATGGGAGGGGTTGACTACTCACTCATATGGAGTGATCATTCAATTGAGTAATGTGTGATCAAATCAAACTGACAATCGCTCTCAGGATCTCAATGTGCATGCAATTCAAAATGTCAATGCTTTGTTAGCTGAACAGAGATTGTGGTTTAAATGTGTCTCCTATGGCAGCAAACTGGTGGACTCACAGGTAAGATGGAGACCTTGGGGAAGTTGTGTAGAGTTTCCCACTCTCTCCGCAGGTAATCCAGCGAGCCCACAAAAACTATAGGCTTTAGCTCGTGGTAATGGAAGTTGCTGGCTCTTAAAGGCATCACCAAGTTTCGCAGCCCCACTAAAGCGGACGTGACATCCCCAAATATACAGACCACCACATGGCCGCTCAGCACTGTCATGGAGGCTTCACTCCGAGTCTGCAGGGAACAGAGGGATACAGGGAAGGGGGAGAAGAGCAAAGAGAAAGGGGTGAGGAGGAGTTGCAGAGAGAGAAGAGAGGAAGAGACACACAGACACAAACACACATGTGCAGAATAGAAATTAGTGCTGTTAACAAAAAACTGCAAGTGTGCATAAGGTAACAAATTCTAGTTTAAACAGTGTTTAAGTCTGCTATAAACTGTTATAAACCCATCTTAAATAGTTTGTTAACCAAGTATCATTAAAGCATTCTACTAACAGGCCTTACTATTTACACATAAACAAACATTTGGTTAACCACTATTCTGTTTATAAGCAGTTTATTATATAATAATATAATCAGAAATAGGAATTTTACAATACAAAAACAAGAACAACACATGTGGTCTTTTGTCAAAGGGCAGCTGATTCAATCAGGCTGAAAATGCAGTTTGTAAGATTTTAGGCACATACAGTATGCATGACTAGGACCCTGTCATAAATCAGAAAGGTATAAATAAACAAAGCTCCTCTATTGTATAAAATTCATGTTGAGAAAGAACGATGCAATGCCCTGCTTTCAAGATCTGTCGCCTGTCACGCCAGCTTGATGTGCATTCAATTGCAAGTTTGAGTGTACGTTAAGTAAACTAAATGCTACTATGATACCAGTCGAGATAAAAACTGAATGTTTGTTTATTAGAGACATACGGTAAAACTAGGAGCGACAAGGGACGACTGCTGCAAATTGGCTCATATTTTCAGTTCAAACATTCATTTCAGCCCCACTTTAAACCAAGAGAATTAAGTTAAATCTTTCAAGAGCAACAGGGTCACTGGTGTATTGCTCAGACAAAAGCAACAAATATGCTTAAATGCCAACTACATACAGTCGTTAACTGTGCAGTGTATTTTATATTGTATCTGGACAGGGTTAACTGCCCAAACAAATTATGCACAAACCCAAATGCTTACAAACTGCCTTGTTAAAACACCTGAGCAAACCCATGCGTGGCGTGTTGAAATGCTGCTCACAGATCCTTGGTGGATATATACATATAAAAAAAAAACAATAAACTCACCTTGAAACAACAGAGAGGCAGTGAGAGAAATTTCAATATATATTAGTATGCGATTGTGTTACTACAATATTGAGGGGAAACCTTTGTTCCTTGATTAACTTCTTCTCTTTTTTTGCATACTTAATTACATTTTAAAGGACTGCAGTTACACAGTTCTTTGCCCCACTCACCAGGATTACTTTTTCGATCTCCTTTGATGGGCACCAGTGAAACATCCCTGTCGAGTCATACCTCTTCACGTTCATGTCCATGTTCTCGATTTGCTCATTTCCAGGAATTAGAAGGGGATCGTGTCGACTGAGGAAACAGAACAATATACTTATTATTAGACCATTATGTGGAAAAGACTGCAGACTTGTGGATGAGGTGGTAACATGAAAGAGGCGAAAAACCACCTGGGTTTCTTGACATCTACACCGTCTATTCATACCACAAATTAAAAGTCTATTCCATTCTCAGAGTGTTAAACTTTATCCTACACCGCATAGTGCAGGTCTCATAACTACCGTATCATTCCTCCATTCCTTCTTGTCCTTGATGTCAAGTCATCAGAAAACTCAAAGACCATGGTGCTCACAGTGGTGCAGAGAACAGCAAGACTTGAGTGCTACTGACTGAATGGCATGACAACACAAGGCCAATTACCAGCTTTTACCTTCTCTTCCACTTCCTGACGCCATGTGGCGCAAATAGTAAAAGCTCCAACAGGCTCACACTTTAAATATTTCAGGAATTTGCCCAATCACATTTTGCTTTCCCAACTGATGGCCATTAATGTTTCAACAGCATGTCACAACCAAACAGGCTAATCCACAGCAGTGGGCTGCTGAGTTTTATCCGGTGTAACACTGACCATGAAAGGGCTCCTGTCAGTCCTGTTATACCGCCTCTCTTATTCTTGCACTTATCCTACAAGACGTGTTCTCACAGTTCCTCTAAAGGCAATCCAGAAAATCTCACCCAAAACACTGAGTCGGGACAAAAATGCCAGAATTTTGTGCTGTACCTCAATAAACATTGCTTGTTTAACAGCAATGCAAATGTAATTTATTTACAATTCAACCCAAATAATGAGATCCTAAGTTAAAACACCACTACAGACTCCAAAAACAGGGAACTGCAGAGAGACAGACATTTGAGTAATATGGGAGAAAACATCTCAAGAATTTGACATACATCTCTCTCAGTATCACGTTCTCTATCCTCTATCAACACTGTCATTCACTGACAAGGCTTTGATGTTGCCTCTTCCTTCAGCCTGCATTTGGGTTGCATACCATCGCAGGAAAAGCAAAAGTTTAAAAAAAGCTGTCAATTAGCCACCCTCTCTCTCCACCTCTCTTCCCTCTATCAGTTAGTGCAGGTGATAATAACACTGACAGCATTTAGTGTTTTTACACTCAGCCTGAATCTTTCATCCAGAGGCGCGTGTTGCGCCAATCAACTCCACAGAGCCCCCGTCACTTCAATCTGCTCAGCTCGGCTCGCCTCCACACAGGGGCTGACTGGCGCATGCAGGCGGGCTGCCGCTCCAGCTCTCTCTGCCAAGACAGCTATCTTTCACAGAGCTGTCAGTGGTGTGACTGGCAGCCTGTCACAGGCTCCATACACCTCCTTCTCCCTCTGCCTTCTCTCTGCCTCGGGTTGAACCTACCACAAGACTCGGGGAGAGCAGACATCAAGTCTGAGCCACAGTGCCACGCCCAAGGGATATCAGCTGCGGAAGATACTGTGACATCTTCTGCGATTGGATGTATGTCGTCAGTCATGACCCATCAAAAAGGTTGTGTGAATGGTGTTAATGCCATGGTGCTAATGCCAACAACACAGCTATGGTAAGGATAGGTCAGCCAACTGTCATTAAATGTCACCTTTAGTGTTTACAAAAATGCATAGATTTTAATTTCTACATAAGTTCCTGAAATATTTATTTTTCTAAATTAAATTTGTATTCATTATCTGGAAAGTATATCTTTTATTCGAAGTTTTCTCCACCACAAAAACATTCACTAAACTGAATAAATATACAGTGTATCAGATTGCAAAGCAAATATTTTACCTGGGTGAGATACAATATTTTATCAGATGCACTTTTATATAGGACAAATATTTCCCTTACAGCATGTCTCACTCGAGTGTTTCACCCCCTCTGTTTCTTCCTCCCTCTCTCCCTCCCTCCCTCAGTATATATTTCAAACACAGTTGAGTTATTCCAGTGTATCACTCTGCAGTCACAAACTGGGGATGGGCGTGCTCCCCCAATCCCTCTCTGCCAGACTACGAAGGCAGCCTCTTGCTTTGAAAATTTTCCCCATCATGCAAACTGACAAAGGCATGCTTTTCAAAAGCCCACAGCCAATCTGTTGATCATTATTTATTTACAAAGGCCTTCAGGCTGCAAGTCCTGTAAAAACCATACTTGATACGTATGCTCGCTCCCTTGCTAGCTCTCTACTGTGTTTTCCCCCTCCTTGCTTGTAGAATAAAGTATCCCTAAGGCTACCTCAAACAATCACTTTTCATTGTGCATAAAATCCACCTTGTAAAGAACAACTGTTTAATATATATGGTGTTATATGTTGACGGAGGCAGCTGTGAAGGGGGGCTGTGGACTGTGATGGGTAATTTGATGTTTTGCTGAGGGCTAAGACTTGGAAAAAAAATCTACACCTATAACAGAGGACCTGTCATCCCAGTACCCAAGAGCCAGCAGAATACAGAAGCACCCCTAAAGCAGAGAAAACTTTGACATCGCTTTGAAGCATTTTCAAAACTGAGTAAATAACTCGCAAGAATTATTATCACTGCGAGATCAAAGCAAAGATGCATATATTACATGGCAAACAGGGACCATCTCCTAAGCAAAAAAGGAAGAGAAGAAAAGGTTTTGTGCTTTAAGTTAGGCAAACCAAACAGCCTTTTAAACAAGCAGTTAGCTGGAAATGTGCCAGTGTCTAGTTGTTTTTGTAGCAGTTTTCTCCCTCTGAGCGAGGGCATCTAAAATGATGCTCTGTTGCAAACTAGACTGAAGGGTATGACTCTGTGTTGGGCTAATGGTTCGGCAAGTGTGAAGGCTTATTAAGCGCTTGTTTTGTGGAGAACTGAGGGGGAGGCCGACAAGTATTCTGGACAAAATCACATAGGCATGCCAGGGTAGTAGGAGGAACGCTGCCTAAGGGAAGCTAACAGGACCAACACACAAAGAACTCTACTAGAATGTAAGGACAGTGCAATAATAACCAAAAACAATGTATACCAAGTGAAAACAGAGATCAAAATGTTAAATGACAGAAATTAAAATGGTATTATATTTTTATATTTGTCTTACTTGCAGAAATTATACATCCTGTAGATATAATGGATTTTATTTTTTTTTGCTTTTAGGGATTGAAATTCCATACAGAAAATATGATTTGGAGTTATTTATTCAGATACAGGAGTTTCTACTGCAGTGCAGCTTCACTGCGACAAGTGACAAGTGTGTGTGACAAAAACCACACAGCTCTCTCTTTAGATTTTCCTATTGTAAAGTCATAAAGATGACGGCCATAATACTTACACTTACTCTCATTAAGAGTAGGGCAGCGTACAGCTATGAGTGTTTCTGTCCTGTTAGATCTTCCCAACCATGCCTTTATACTGCCGTCCCAATCCGCACAGCTCGGCCTCCCTGAATTTTCTAGGCTGTCGTGTTGCTAACCCCGCCTCGCAGCCAGAGGAGCATAAAAACCAACCCTTTTATCTTTCAAAATCAATTAACAACAATTTAATTCCACAGGACAGGATAAAAGGAAGGTAATATTTGAATTCATATTTGATTGTGATGATACATCTCACATATGGCCTTAAGTACCAGAAACAGTACTCACAGGGGTTCCCACAATAGAGGAGTAGCCTAAGGGCAAAGTAACCATGCAGGTCCCGCTGATTGGTTGCTGGTGTCATTAGTGCCAGCATTGTTTAAGGAGCACATGTGGACCAGACCGAAGGAGGTGACAGCTGGGACTTTAAAGCCAGAGGAGTTTTCAAACGGCTCCTCACAGCCGCTTTTCATGACAGAAATATTATTTCAGCTCTGTCATTAACAGCTGACAGCATGCCATCCTAAACAGCCAGAGCCTAACAGGGCACTTCTCCTCTCTCCTTCTCTCAGAGTTTCTTACCTCCTTCTTCTGCCACCCCTAATTTGCCCCCTCCCATCCATCCAAACTCCCACCATCTCACCATCAGCAGCATCCGCCTCTGAAGTATCTCTCACACACATCCCTCCATCCCTTCCTCCTTCCTCCCTCCCTTCTCTTCTTCCCTGTATCTGACTTCCTCTCACTCCCCGTTTGAAGGCTGGAAGGAGAATAAAATCAACGTATCTTACCTCATCATTTTGGGCGAGCAGTTGGGTGAGTTTCGCATCCCTCCGTTGCGTTGCTTTTTTTTGGGCGAGAGAGTTGATGGATGCTCGTCTTCGACTGCAAACACATGCACAGAATGTCAGAATAGAGACAGATGGTTGGGAATGTGTGCTGGACCTGACATGGAATAAAAAAATAGCCAACAATCAATCAATCATTGCAAACAAAACAAAACAAAAAAATGAAAAAAAAAGAAAAGGAAAGGAAAATTAATAATTCAGTGTCAAATTGAGAAAATATAGAGAAAGCATTAGTAACGAACAATGGTAAATCTGAGAAAGGCAGGAGAAAACCACGGAGAAAAAAACAATTCACGACCTGAAAATGTTAGGGAAAGCTCACATCCCAAAACCCCCATATTTTGGCTCTTCTTAAGTGCACTTTTAAAGGGTCTTCAGTAATACACTACTGCCTCTGTTCAGTACAAATTGTGCAGGTGGTTGGACCTCTAGCAGTCTGCATCAGAGTCACCATGCTTACCTACACCAATAATTGCCATGTGATGGTACAGACTGTCATTGTCAGTGGGCACGGGCAAAAGCAATGACAATGAGATAAATAAAGGTTATGGAGATGGATCTTGAGTTGGTAGTTTATTTATATTTTTAAGAAACAGAATCTGAATCTGAACGCAACCCCATCATTGCAGTTCTATCTAAAGCGCACACTGGCTCTTCTCCATGCCAAGAGAACACTTCAACACACATCATAAAGGACAGGGCAAGCTAACAGGGTATGAATTAGTGGACTATGAATAGCAAAAGCAGCTAGTAAATACACATCATCTTCCAGTAGAAAAAGGTCAGGGCTAGTCTTAAATGTTTAAATGAAAAATATATTATCTATGTAAGATTAAACAGTCCATTTTTGTGTTTGACGCTTTGGTGTTTAGCATTTGCAGGACACGGAACCATGGCCATGTTTTTTTGAAGATTATTTTGATCATACTTAAGTGCAGCTTCCTGTCAACTATGCTCTTCTGTGTTGAGAAATGGATAAAAAACACTATTTTTCAAACTTTGCTTGAGTCTCAGGCAGACAGAGAGGACGACAACGAGCAGCCAGAGTGAGGCCAGGCCCAGTCGTCTGAAGATTTCAGTCAAGCTAACAGTAGTCTGATCTACACTACTGTCTGGGAGTTTCAAGAGCTTTCAGACAGGCACCCAGATACTCTTATCCACTCTGCACTCTCCAAGCGCAAATGCCAAGTGCACCGTCACTTCAAACCCGTATTAGTCCTTTGGTTAGAAATCAATAACACAGCATGATATTAGTGCAAATCAATGTGCACGCTGCAAGCCACGACTATTCCAAGCATGTGGAAATTCATTATTGTCTGAGCACCCATCCTAGGCTGTCACCTAATTCTGCTAATAAAAGATAAGAAATATGACTTTGCCTTCTAATAAAATGTCATTCTCTGACATTTCCTTTATGCAATTGGGCATTCGGAATAGCTAATATCACAAGCACTTTCCACTTTACAAATAATTCTTTCTCTAATGTACTTTGAAAATACCATATCAGAAAATATGCATTCCTTGCCATATTGTTTGACAGACTCCTCCTGGTTTAAACTTAATTTGTTAACAGTAAAAGCATAACACTTCTCCCTTACACCCACAGCAATAAAATTAAATGCTTTCCAGCCACTGGGTAATAAAAGCTTTCACAGTAAATTATTAAAAACTTAAATTTGTATTTCAGCTCCCAAAGTCAGTATCCTCACAAGAATTCACAACTCCTGCAACATTTCTGACAATAAATACTGATAAGCAACTATTTTTTGTCTTTCTAAATTCACATGTTTTAGCATTCCTCAGTTTGGATGTCCCCCAACGTCGACAGTAGCAGCCACTGCACTAGCAGGCAAATCTGTGCAAAGCAGCAGGAGCATCAACAGTAGCAGCTCCAGCAGAGTGAACCATCATGCAGCAAACAAGACAAAATGAAGGGACAGGACAGGCGGGGTTACTGGCTGATGCATCCCGCTAAGGGGGCAACCTACAGTGCCTACTGTGACTGAGCAGCATGGCATTACTGGAGTGGTAGCGGTATTTCACCGGCAGACTGCGGGCCCGGTTCAGCCGACTCTCAGCCAGGGATCTGGCCACCACGTCTCCTGGACCTGAGATACTGAGGCGCAGTTTCGAAGGGTCAGCCCCAGGCCCCAGCCCCATGGGGAGCAGACTTCCTTTACGGTTATTAACAAGGGGGATGTTGATTGTGCCTGGCTTGACCAGGGGGTCCTGGTTGGGGTGCAGGGTGCTGGGAAGGAACGCATTTGAGGTGATGGAGGTGGAGGTCAGGCCGGTGGTTTTAACTGATCGGTTTTGAAAAGACGGTCTAACTTCATCCATTACTGTCAAACAATGGAGAATAAAAAGTGTGAGAAAGCCTGTATTGATGCTCATTAATTAGTTAGTAATTAATTAACTAGTATTATTTTTTTTACATATTATTTTCAAATAGAATTGTTTTATCAGAGATTTCAGGGAAAATCTTTTAAAACAAAAGTCATCATTGTATTGTAGGATGTTCACAGCCAATAAGAAACTTGAAATAAATATTTGATAATTAATAAACTGTATAAGGATCAAACAGTTGTTTCTATGAAAAAGACTACAATTTTTCTCATTTGAGTTCTGATTAAGAAATAGCTGAAAGCCCCAAATTCATGCCATAACAGCAGGAATCATTTATCATTTTTCTGAAACTGGTGTTGAAACATTTTTACTCATCAACTCTTATCTGCTTGGCACACGCTTCAACTGAAACGTTCACAGTGACATTTACTTTGCATTTGTGACAAACATGAATTAATAAAAAGTCTCTTAGTTTTATTTCTCAGTTGTGCTACACTTTCTGGTAAAACAAAGCAGAGACACAGCTTGGCTAAAGCCAGTCAAAACCAATCAGATATTGTGTCAGTTCAAGCATTATGTGTAGCACACTACTTTCATTTCAACAAATATAAAACTATAACTAATAATTTATAATATTACTAATTCAAAAACTTTTTTCATTAAACATTTAAAGGATTCATTTTGGATTGTATATAGAAATGTGGTTAAATTCCAGACCAAAAATGTAGTCACTGTGTTCTCAAACATTTACATGCTGCTTTTTACTGTAACTTTGACAGTATTTCCAGTAACAACCTGCTGTGTCTAATATGGGAATAAATACCCTGTGCATGTAGAAACGCACATACACCTAATGTTCACGCACCAAACAAACACACACACACACACACACACACACACACACACACACACAATCCGACTGAGGACCGAGGTTGCAGAGTCAACTCGCATGTTTGTATGTACTGAAGTGGTTGTAACGTTGAATGGGAGAGGAGGAGCCCTCTTTCTCTTTGGTAGAAGGGTGGTTGGTTGGTTGTTTGGAGGAGAGAGCATGCTTGGGTGGCCCCGGGCGATAAACAGACGTTTATCCCGGCCGTCAGCTGCCTCCTTGATTTACGGGGCGCCACCGATAGCTCCTGGATTCATCTGGCCCTTGTCAAACACGTGCAGCGTTAGAGAGCGCTCACCCACCCTGGCAGGTCCACTGTGCATCCTGAACAACCCAGACGGCAACTGTCCCTTCCTGAAATGCTAATCACATGATAGTACTGTCCTGCATGCAAGCCTTATCAGATCGCCATGACCCAATGTAAACTGGATGATGAGGCAAAGGAATAACAACTAAAAATGTTTACTTTTGAATGTGAGCTAAGCTGGCTTTGCCTTTACAGTGTTTGCTGCATGAGCAAGCTTTGTGCTTCATCTGCATTGCAACTGCATGAAAAAGCTTTTTATGCCATGCATTGTTGTTTTGCTACTGTTAAATATAAGAATATAGCTGATATTATGGCTGCTGCATTTCCTTGTAGTTCTGCTAAGAGGCAGCCACTATTTTAAAGAGGAAAAAAAAAATGTCTTCAATATCAGTATGCTTAATAAGAACAAATACATTAAATAAAAATAATAAAAATGTTAGAGGTGACATATAGCATTTCAAAACTAAAATTTATTCTTAACCAGTAGAGTAAATGGTAATAATACATTTAACAATTATTTACCAAAGATTTACCTAAATTGCAATCAGCTTTGAACCGTACGCCAGCCTCTTTTTGACTTCCACTGTTCCCTGGTGTTGTAGCGCCATCTGCTGCTACATGCAGCACAATACAAAAAGAATATTTCATGGAACTACATGATATCAAACACAAAATAATTTATTTTCAGTTGCTATTAAAGTAAGAAACTAATTACTTTAATAACCTATAACCTATCAACATATGTTGAAATGATTTAATGATAGGTGAGTTAGAATAAACAGTCTGTCTGAGTTAAACATTGAAATTAAAACTGGTTAAACTATGAGTTTACTTTGTCTCTGTATAAGACACAAGACAACATCAGTTTATGCTAAAGGAATAAGGGACAACATAGCAAATAGCAAAGCATCAGTACTAATTATGTTACATGACATAGTGAGGGGTCTACAGTCTAAACACAGAGCTGGAGCAGAATGGAGAAGGACAGAGAAACACACTTACGTGATCTGACATATCCATTATACTTATATTTGGCTGAGGAGAATGCAAAGACAAGTGGTAGGTCACACAGAGGGAGAAAGGATGTAATGAAACAGGCACATTAGGAAATAGAGACATCAACATAAGAGCGGTGGATGGAAATTAAATCAAATGTAACTATGATGAAGTACTATTAGTGAAGGGCATGAGGGCATAAACCAAAAATAAAAGGGTATAAATAATTAAAATCATGGAAAAACCTAATGGCGGTGATGATTAAAGTATGGCATGATGGCACAAAAAAGGCAGACAGGTGGATGAAATGAACTGTCCTTTCTTAGAGTGAGCCATGCTTTCAGAAAACTATCCTAAACTTGTAATGAGATGTAATGACAGTCTAATGGCTGATTCTATTAAATCTTTTATAAGGGCTAAATTTGAAGTTACACAGTTTCAGTGGCAGATTAAACAACGAAATGTTTCTCATTTAAAAACATATTAATTGCTTAGATTTTTTCACTTGAGTTTAAATGTGATGAACATTGTAAGGTCTGCAGACAGAACAAAGAAAGCCACCATGGGAAACAAATCGACTACATACTTGAGCGCATGTAGGCGTCCAAAACACAGACAGCAGACACTCACTACCCAAAACAGCCGCACTAACACAGCACAAATTTAAAGAGACTTGTTTTACACGTGCAGTCCAGATCTCTCCCACGAATGGAAAGATGGGTTCAATGCTACATTTTTAAATCTCTTGGGATGCTCTTTAAAAATGGTTGACCATGGTCTCCACCTATGCCAGTAATATTAATTATCTGGGAATTACAGTTTATGACCTTGACTAAGGAGGTACTGAAGACTGGTACCAATAGAAGTACTGGTACAGTGGGCACTTGAACTGAGCTCTGAGCTGCTGACACTCTGCACTCTTTCCTAGAGTCTCTTCCAACAGTAAAGGTCACAGAGAGGGCCCAGGGCTGGCCTATGACACAGATCCTCAAACAGGGACCCACAGTGGCCCTGGCATCTGTCTCTAGCAATCTGCCTGCACCGCAGAAGCAGCAGACTAACTGGCTAGCATCTGGGGCGTAGCGAGGCAGCATAGGACAGAGGGTGGGGGGGGGGGACCGAGCCTGCCTGGTGGACAGGAGCTGTCAGGGCAAGTTTGGTGACGGACCAGCAGGGCTGGGAAAATGAAAATGCAAACATAATTTCCGTGTCAGGATAGATAAGGTCCCCAGCAATGAGATGCAGATGCACACACATGCACAGACACAGGGATAAGTGCATGTTGTTACACACAGATGCATGTACACACACAGCCCACAAGGCCATGGGCTAGCCGAAAGCATCTGCTGAGCCCAGGGTCCCCACCCCTTGTCCATAACCCAGCTTTATAGAAGCTTCAGCCTCTGCATTATATAAAAGCTGTCACATCTCCAGCCTTTCTCACTGAAGGAAGCTGGCCAAATGTGATGGTCAGGTTGCAAAGGAAGACCATATGAAACTAATATACAGACAAAAATAAACTTCTAATTCAGCTGAACTACTCAGAAAAACTTTTGAGCTAATATTTCAAAACTTAAATTGTTGAAGACAAGCATCAGTATGCACAACCACACAGGGGGAACTATATTTTTGTACCCTCCTCTATCTACATATATAATGTATGCTTTGAACTATACTTTTAACTACTCATAAGTAGTAGAAACTGCTCGCCTTAGCTCTCTTCTGTCCAATTTTTCCATCTCTTTATCTGCAAAAGTTTGCCCCTCTAACTCAAGCTCACGTCTTATCTTATTCTTACTCCAATAATTCATTGCTTGACCAAACTGCAAAATTTATATGATCTCTATTAACAGAAGACTGCATAAATTTAGTAAGGTCATTTTTCCAGACAACTCTCTCTTTGCAAAATGGTTTATCTATTTCACCAAAAATCACATTACTCACTAAACTCCTTTAATGGGTGTATGTTAAAACTGGCTATTAATTAATATTGTATCAATAAAGTTCATAAAGCAACACAAAGGCTTATGTTTATGTCGACATTTAAGAGATGTCTGTGCCGTTGTTGCGTATTTATGTGATATGAATGTGACTTGCATAGGAGCAAAGGGTGTATTAAATGAGTGCTATCCAAGGAATCAATTATCCAAGTACTCAGCCTAGAAAAATCTGGTTCAGATCTACAAGAGCATGAAGTCATCATGGATAAAGATGTCTTATCCTCTCAGACTGGTGGAAAAAAGACGGGAAATGGGGAGAGGAAATCCAACAATCCCTGACTGACAAAGCCCAATGCACTCCTTCACTAAACTCACTTTGTACAGACAAAGTCTGAGTTAAAAAGGGAAAGAAATCTAAGACAGAGGAGGCTTTCCTGAAATCCTACAGGGGGTTGAGGGAGAAGTGAGATCAGTAACCATGTAATGGCCAGTAATTGGTACCGAGGGATATCAGCGCAGGCCGAAACTACAAGAGGCCAAGCCAAACTCATCATGGCATGTTTGACACTAATCTAGGCTGAGTCGGCAGACGGTGGGAGAATGTTGAGAAGGAAATCAGATCTGTATGTCTGAACCCAGTGCTTTGATAGCTAGTCCTACTGCTGCCATGTTTAATTGACAGACAATTTAGCATTTCCCATCCACTCAAAAGGAAAAGTGAAAGGAAGGGGATCTTCCTGAAGCTTTTGTCCTCCTACCTTTTTTTTTGATCAAGCCAACATCGCTATTTTGTAGTTCTCATTTTGGGCCTTTTTCCTCCCCTCCACAAATGTTTTGTGATCTATTTTCTTGTCCTCTGTCCTGTTGAACAAAACCTCTCTCTCCAACCATGTTATTTTTCTCCTCATTCCTCCTCCCTCTCTTAGTGTATGTGTTGTAGACCGTTAAAGACTGCAGTATAGATACACTGCTTAAGACAATTGTGATCCAAGGCTGATTATATACAATAAATCGTACAATTTGAGACTTTATGTCCATTGTTAATTGTGGGCAAAATTTTATGTGTTTTTGTATTGTATGTGTCTTTATTAATTGCCTAAAAGGAGGAAACGGCACTTGAGGTATTAATAGTTACTTTCCTGAACTAGTGTCAACAACAAAAACCTGTTTTAATATCTGTGCACTGCTCCTCATTTATTAGGCTTGGCAAGACTGTTAGAAATCTTCAAAACATCATTTCAGATGTGATTTTCTCTTATCTTCGGCATCAAAGTGAAACTAAATCTCTGCAGAGTTGTTCAGTAAGGTTAAGTCAAAGGTAAAAAAAAATAAAACAAAGGCAAAGCTACTTCAACTGAAAAATTATAAACTGAAAACACTGTTAACTCAGAAGTTTGTAAGGGCCTTTAAAGTAATGATATAAAACATAATTTAACAAAAATTATTATTTAATTGCAGCATAAAACCTTGAGAATAAAATGATACGTTCCATTTTCTGTATATACAGACATCTTACCTTCAACAGTTCAAAGCACATCAAATCCAATAGTGATATTGATATTATCACACAACTGCATGACTGATGCAGCATGCGGTAGCCACATGTCTAACACCTACATTACTGTACAATACAGCAGCACCACAGAGCAACACCACCACTTACCCATCACACATATTACACTCATGAAATAGAAATAATAGCGTCAAATTAAAATGATAAACAACTAAAAAATGATGAAAATTAACTATAAATAAAAGGAAATGAGAAGATTAAATGTTAAATTAAACCTAATAACTGAAATGATGAAATAGATAGATAGATAGATAGATAGATAGATAGATAGATAGATAGATAGATAGATAGATAGATAGATAGATAGATAGATAGATAGATAGATAGAAACAACAATTCATCTCAGAGTAACAATTGTCCATCAACAATCATAAAATAAATAAATATCCACATAAGCCACAACTACACAAACTATGGAGTCACAGTACACAGATCACACCACATGGACGACATTACAGACAGTACATGTACACGTACAGTACCTCTGCATGGTACAATACACGGAGCACACACCACAGACACGTAACAGCATGTGTTGGGCGGTGTAACTTACAGGCACGTAAAGTGGTTGCGCAATCATGAACAGAGACAGAGGAAAGTGGGTAGGCCCTCTGAAGGGTGTCCATGTTACTATGTACACTGCCTGACATGCAAGAGCAGTCTTGCTCTGAACGGCCGCAATCAAAACAACATGCCAGTTTCATTCGTTTGTAGACGGACATCTTGGCTACAGTCATGTTTTGGGATGAGAGGAGAGGAAAAGCAGCAGGTTAATGGCAAAAGGAGAAATATTCATCCAGGGGGAAGTCGGAAGGTAACTTCATCAGAAAAGTGCAAGCCTTAGACACCTGCTCCCACAGACTTGAGCCCCAAGATTAAATAAACACACTCGAAACGCCGCAATGTATTTAGAAATCATATTACTTTTACCTCAACAATTTGTCCAATGATTTCTGGTTTACTTTTAAAATTTTCTTTTCTGAGAAAACACAAGATAAATTTGGACACATTACAATAAAACAATATTAATAATAGTATTTCATAATATAATAATCACATGTCAGCGCAGTATTACTCGTCTCGAGAGGTCAAGCTGTGTGCTAAGGCTGTAACAGGTCAAAAGGCAAAACTATAACAATGGGAAAAAGGGGTAAGGAGAAAGGGGAGAGGGTGGGAGGCATTCAGGAAAGAGAGGCATGAGCAATGTCTTCAGCAGCAAACCTCATACAATGTTTCATACATTTGTACATCCTCTATCCATTTGGCTAAAGGAGTGGATCACGTACCTGTATCCCATCATGCAGCTGTAGCGGCTCTGTCCATGGCATCACACTATTCTACTAGTCTAGACTGGCCAATTCATGCTACTGAATATCTAGACCTGCAGTTTCACTGCCCCACTCCCCAAGGGAAGCTTCACTCTGATGTACTCTCTAATGTGCATAAATGGTGTGTCTGGACAAAGGATGTACATGTTTAAATTTTTTCTGTGTCAATTTATCACAGAAAAAATTTAATTATAACAGACATTATACACTAACTTGACTTTACTTTTCTCTATTTATGCTTCACAGTTGTTTTATGCATCTAAATAGGATGTTTAAGGTTTGAGAAGCAGAAACTACATTGATGTTTAATCTTCAGCTCATATTCTCCATATGACTTAAATTTATGAGGTAAAAATACTGACTGGGTCATTACATATAGTTATATCTTTTTAATTATCTCTACACAATAAAATCAGGGGATCAAACAAATCTCACATGTAATGTCTAAAACACTAGGAACCCAGGGTGGGACATTTATCACTAATTACTTATAAGTAGACCTGCATCATCACTGTTATTGCTATTGTTCACTGTTAATAACTGTTGTATTAAGTACTTCATTGATGGTTCTTTTCAATTATCGTGGTGACTATGTGCTCTTGCTCAGATAAGACTGGATGTGAAAGTTGTATTACACAACAATAAACCCTTAACTACTAGTCAGCCTGCAGCCAAAATACTGTAAGTAGCCACTTTATGTCTATGTGGTGTGTATGTGAAGCTCTGAACCCCAAGGGAAGCAGGAGTGAAAGTCCCCAGAGTAGCACATCTAGATTGCTGTGACTCTGGGCAGAAACAGTCCCTGGTCCCCATTCCCTCATTGCCAAGGTGCAAACAGGCAGCAGATTGTCTGGCACCTTTACAGAGACACTTTCAGCATCTTTGACTCTGTGTCACATCGGAAAAAAGTAATGAAGTAATATGTTTCAGCTTCTGGCCAAGGAAAGAATTGGAAACGCAGATCATAACCCATGGGGGGAAGGCATCAGGGACTGTTGTATCCTGCGACATGCACATGTGCCTTATGAGCATGTGATAAGCATGCAGAAAATGTAGTTTTGGTCTCAGCAACAAGGGGAGGTACAGAGATAACTGTTCACAGTATTGAAACAGTTTTCAGGGCATGGCAGACAAGTGCGGTGAGGCCATCACTTCATGCTGATATTGCTTGACTTCCGAGTTTTTGCTTGGGCATTCGGACCACAGTTTATGTGTGTTACAATGTAAATTATTGACACATGGAAGGGGAGTAATGGAAAACACAAGCACACACACACACACACACACACACACACACACACACACACACACACACACACACACTGACAATGTCTTTGACTTCTGACTTCACAAATACCCAGATTCTGCCCTGGAATTATAAAGTGTCCATTTCAGGCCATTCTTAATTGAAGATTCAACATGACCACTGCCCTGATAAACTGTCTGGGGTTTGATCAGGCATCATCTCCTGTAATCCACCAAGGCACAACCTAATCCAACAGAAGCTATCAGGGCACTATGTTGAATACGAAGGATGTCCCAAAGAAAGAACCATTCTGATATATCCCCCTGAAGCTTCCTTTTTCAACAAGAGTGCAAGGACAAATTATACTGTTGCAGAAGCTCAATAGTTGAATATTATCTCCACTACTATATTATAATATCTCCACCGTAATAACAATCAGAGTGGAGAGTAGTTTATTGCAGTGGGGGCATAAAAGAGTGCAAAAGACAAATGCTTTTTTCCTTGGAAAGGCAGACTTTGTGCACACAGCCCTCAACAAACCCCAATTATACCATATCTTGTAAACATAAATCATTAAGGACTTCAAAATGATGAAACATCTTGGGATGATGCATTTGTCAAACTATAGATTCAGTTTATGATTAAATGTATTATCCTAATGCACAGAAACACAGAGATTTGGTCCTTGCATTTTTGCTGAACAGGTTTCAGGGTATTCGAGTTTCCTCTACAGACATCACCATTTAAAATATTGTATTATTGGACATGACTCTGGCACGGCACCGCCATCTAGTGGCAATCTAATGCTATGACAATTAATGCTGTGTATTGCTAGTGGACTTCTCATCCAGTGCAGCAAGTTATAAAAAAGAAAAAAGAAAAAAAGAAAGGCCCAACAACTGTCCAGATTTGAAATGCACAAGACTGGTGTAGTGACATTTCAATTCTGAGAGGAACTGATGCTCCCTGAGACCTCAGCCCGAGCAGGGCGAGGACCTAGAGTGGCTGGGATCACAGAGAAGTGGGGCAAAGGGGAGACCAGATTGTTTTGATTGTGTTTTGGCAACCTTGCTTGTTAGGATTTACAGAACTTCCCACAAGGACATTTTCTGCTCTCTGAAAGTACAGCCACACACAAAACTTCCTTTGACAGAAAGCAGATCAACTTAAATCTCAGTGGTTCTTGTTAATTTTCTTCCCCTTGTGATAGCTCTTCTAAATCTATGATTACTGTATGACATCTCAGATTGTTATTACGTTTCCTCTGGACTTTCTTGGAGCATGACACTATAAGGAGGTTAATCATGGGTAATGACAGAAGACTTGCAGCAGATTGGCTTCCAAATGCCAAGTATGAGTTTTGTTTGGAGATCCAATAGTGAGGGAAAACTGCAGAGCTCATCGGCCACGTCCGATTAAGTCACACTCTATTTAATTGTCATTTCCAACTAGTAAGAGCATCAGCTGACTGGGCCGATGATGAGGAGGCCTGATGCTGGTGTGAGTTTGATTTCTGCTGTTTTGGTTTGGGTCTGGTCTGAGCACAGTGTAGAAATGAGAGGCGAGGAGAGGGATGCAGAAGCTACACTGGTACATGCAACATAGATACAGTATACTATTTTCTGAAGAGGGAAAAAAAAAAAACACTTGCACTGCACTCTGGGTAATAGTACACCCATTTTCTTTTTACTCACAATAAATCACTACCAGTGAGTAGTTAAAATAAAGTGGCGTTTTCCAATGGCAGCAGGGAAGGAAATACATCAAAAGTGTGTCACTGGTCATAAAGAAACATGGGAAAAACAACAGAAGAGAACAAAACATGATAGAACAGAACATACTATATAGACTTCCATTGCAGTAATGGAACTGTCAAGTTTCTAAATGCAACTCTCTTGTTGGCAACAACTGTAATAAGATAAAACATAACGCCATGTCCATCACTGAAGTCTGAGACATGAAGATATTAAGAAAGCAAAGAGAAGTGAACAGTTTATCTAAATGAAACTAGAGTGTGAAAGGCCTGTTGATGCTATTGAGCTCAAAGAGGGAAAACATGTCTGAATAATTGAAATGACACAGACAAAAGAAGGAAATGGTGGGTGTCTATTTTAAAACCAGGCTTTGTCCGTATCAGGCTGCTTACTGTAATTGTCTGTGACCTTTCGTGGAAATATGGGATATTTAACTGAATTATTTATCCAGTAGCTAACATGTCCTGACAAGTGACTACTATACATAGGTCAGGTTATATTCATGTGCTGTTCCCTGACTTAATGGTAATGTTATGTCTGCATAAAAAAGGGAAGAAACTATCCATCTGACAGGGGCATTTGTGTATTGTGAAAAGTCTTAAATTTAACACTATATCTATGACTATTCATAACATGTATGGGACCTTAAAGCTCCTGAGAAGAGCTCAATGTTCTCAAATACTCTCATCAAGAGCATTTACATGTAAAAAGAAAATAATACAATGGCTCATATCCACTTATATTTTAAATATGACAGAGAAAAGCTGATTGACTCATAGCGTTCCAAATATAGAAGGATTTATAGTATTTTGTCTGTACAGTTGTCAGCTAATACAATTTTCAGTCTGTACCTTAAGTTTTAGTCCTGTAAATTTAATTTGCTACTAAACATTTTCAGTTTGCGCAAATTAAGTAGTGATTCAATGGTTAAACCAAAAGGAAAATACACTCAAATGACAACACCTACATTACGACAAGGAAAAAAAACAAACCATATATTGACAGATGATTGTACCATAATGGATGTATGGAAGTTCAAATGGGACCCATAATAAACACTTTTTCTAGAGGTATAATGGTGTGACAATATACAGTATATTACCTTTAAAACACAGTGCCACAGCACAGAAGAACGATGACACAATGAGAGGTTTAATATTAGTGTACAAACAGGTAAAACCTTAAGTATAATGAGACAGACAGAGCCACAGGTAAGATTTGGAGTGAGAGGAAGGGAAGGACGGGGGTCGCTGGGGCAAAATAAAGGTACTCACGTCGTTTGCAGCCACACTTCTTGATCCGCTTAGGGTCTGTGATGTCGTCATGACAAGCTTTGCAGTAGAAAAATGCTCTAAAAGTGACACAGTAAAAATGTTTAGCCCTTTTAACTGTTTATTTTACAGCATTACTGACCAGTTGTTAATCAGGATGGCCGGATTACCTCTTTACTTCTTTGGCATCACTGGCGATAAAGAATCCCAGTGTTCCCTCCTGCATCTTGACATGGTTGCCCGGGTTGATGAGAATGCTGGGTAGTCAGAGAAATAGACACATCATGCTCATCAACTTATGGATGATACTCAGTTCATGCACACAACATGCTAATCAAGAGGAATGGTACACACACTTGTTGAAGCTGTTAATCAGACATACACTGCGCTAATCTTGACTGTTTTGGAGGGTTTTTTGCATCAACACATAATCCCTGCTAAAGTTTTCAGAGCCTGGTTTTCTCTTTTGTGTTGTATCCTACATGTTATCATAACAACACACCTGCTCCTCTGATTTGGGACAATTTGCTGATGTGATACTCACAAGAATGGACAGAATGTACAACAGTATGATCGCACATTGAATTTTAATTCTTTTCTTTACAGAATGGTTTCGGTTTGCCCCAGGGTGACAAAGGGGACAGAGAAGTACGAGTAGAGGGACAAGGGCAGAAAGAATTAAAATTATGGCCATGGAGTGGTTTTAGTCTCAGCATTCAAATACAGTCATCTAGTCAAAACAAATGTTATGATGGCCACTGAGACATGGCTATAGTACAGAGAATGTACAGTAAGTGTTGTTATCTCGGTTAGTATTTGACAGTGGGATGCAAGGGAATGAACAGCTCTTTTTCCTGTCGATTACTGGGCTGATTCTACTCAGTGACTCTACAATGGTCTATAGGATCACTCAAGGAAAAATGTAATTGTTGGACTTAAGTCCAGAGGTGGATTAAATCCCCTAAAATCAGTAGTTACTCTGCTCCATTGAATTATAGAGTGAAAATAATTACAATGCATGTCCAGCAAGGTCAATATTGACCTAAAATGTTATATTATATTCAATATAATTATATTTAAGGACACAACTATAATATAAATGTATCACAGCATGCTGAACAACAGTGGACATATTAGTCAAACTATTTTTGATATGATCTTATGAGTTTAATACCCTATAAACACTTTAAGCGACTGGCTGTATCATTCCCCATTAATTAGACTGAGACAAAGAGTAGACACTACACACACATACTGTACGCTCACACACACGCACACACACCCTGGTCATTAATGGTCACCTGTGGGCAACAATCATCAATGATGTGAGTGTGAACTAAGAAATCAAAACACTGAACCCACAAACCTTTAAGGGTCACACTCCTTTAAAATATGAGCCCAGATGAGAGATGAAGAACTTTTCATTCTCCTTTTCTCATTTACTCTATTTTAAACTTTTGTCAATTTGTGACAAGAATACCTATCGTATGGCTCATAAAACTACTGTCAGTGTCGGGGGACCGCCATTCTTACCAACTTAATTCAAATCTTTGTTTTAAATAACTATTTTCTGACATTTCAGTATCCAATTTTAATGTTATCTGTGTGCACTCAGGACAGAAGTGACGCACTACATCTAAGAAAACATCTATCTTACTACATCTTTCCTCTGGGCTCTGGAAAAGGCTACATTGGAGAAAATAAACAAAAATATTAAGGGAGCAATTGAATCCATATACATATCGGGCTGTGATCAAATTGCACCAGTCATGCAGATCAGATTTTTCTTTACACATTTTTCTTTGCGAGAAGTAAAATAGCATCTAACATTCACTCAGATTGAATGGCCCCCAGAGAAGTAAACAGGCATTGCGCCCGGCATGCTCTTTAGTGAAAATAAATGAAAGAAAACAGATCAAATCAAGACAGTTCCACAAACATTGCTGCCCAAATCTGAGATTTTACAGGTGTATCTATCCAAGACATTTTTCTTCGGTCGGGTGCAAACTGGTGAATAGAAGCATCAAATGAGCATCAAAACCTCATATTGTGAGCAACAAGGTAAGCATCAAACAACTTATGTGATAGTGTCATAGCATGCAGTTACCAAACAGCATGAAGAGGACAATAACCAACAGAAAGGCATAGCAACTGCAGTACAGGTATAGGGACAGGTACGTAGATGCAGACGGTTGCAGTAACTTCTGTGCAGTTGGATTGTTTCTCAAACACCAAACTGACAGGAAGTGACCTCACTTAAGAACATCTACTCGAGAGACGCACGAGCATGACTGAACATAATGGCTGAGACGCACAAAAATGCACACGCACGCACACATTCACACACAAACTCTCCCTCTCAAGGTAATTGCACACGTACGCAGACGCACATACATGCACAGATGGATATACAAATAGCACCGATGAGAACATGAGAGGGTGATGGAATGCAAAACTGAAATGTGCGGCACTTGAGAACATTGTAGCCTATGGTTATTAAATTTCAGTTTGGATAAACTTAATGCTATCCAAATTCAACAGCTCCATGCCTTTCCTAGTGTGTGAAATGATGAAGAAAAAACAAAGATTGGAGAGGTGCTGGTGTAATAAAACCATGAAGAAAAATACATGCTGGTATATCAGCCACCGCCTACAGCAATGGCAGATAATCAGTCAATTTATTTCAAAATGTAAAACAACAGATTATCAGTGCTTATCAACACCACATCTGAGGTCTAAGAATGTGTATACAAACTCCTCACTGATTCTGAGTCAAAGAACCATGAAGTACTGTACTGGCAATGATTTAAAAACACCATGAGTGGAATAATCAGCTTGGCAAAGCTCACACACAGTAGGGTAACAACTGAGCAACACGGAAAAAGAACTGAAAGTGAGAGAAATAAACTAAGCAAAGGACTGGTAAAGGACAAAACTGAAAAGATCAAATAAGAGGTAGATATGGAGAGGGTGAGCGTTTGGCCTTGGTACATCGACAACAGCAAAGACAAAGAAACAGCACTTCTACAAACATGTCCAATTTATCTATCCTCTCTCTGCCTGCAAAGAAGTTAGTGCATTAAGCACAAGGGACACCATAAAAAAGAGTTAGAAAAGGAGGCCTGTGAGATAGGGTTTGGAAAAATATCCTTGGGGGAAACTCCCAAAGTCAGAAGCTTTAAAGTGGTGGAGATTGGGTGGAACTTTGGAAGTATGATAAGGTAGAGGGCATACCGCTTTCGGCTTCTGCAAACAACAAGAAAAAATCTCAAATCAAACAGTTATCATGAACATAAAAGAAGAGGAGAATAAGACTGTTACTATGGTTTCTCTGCCTATTTAGGTACGCCTTATATGGCTGCACATGGGGCAACTCTGCACAGACACACAATTCAGTTATTTCATGCTTGTCCGATGGTGAGCTCCTTACATCTAAAAATGATAGTTTGCTAAAGAAAAATCTGTTTGATTTTAACGGTGCTTATCTTTTGAGAAGGGCATGATTAAATCAAATGGCAAAATCAAATGTGGCTAGAAAAGAGCTGTAGATACAAAAAGGATTGTGCCTGTATGTGGCATCTTCAGAGTCAATATAGAAAAGTAATAAAGTATGCTCCAAAAAGCATACTAGCAACTTAGCTAAATTTAAAGAATTAAGACTACAGACAAAACATGTGCGAACTGGGATAAATTCTAGCGTAAGATCAAAAATGTAAACAACTAGAAATTGTACATTTGCTTGGTTTTAGCTTATAATGCTGAAATAGCTCAAAATGTCCATCATTTGCCATGCAACCCTGCCAGTACACAAAAACATTTGACACAGGTGAATGGGGAAGGGTGGGTGGGATTTGGCAAATTGAGATTACTGAAAAATAGTACTTCATGTTGTTATTGGTGAAGACTGACACCGATGTAGAGTTAGTGGTTATCATACAGACTCAACAGGGACACAGTAGAATCAAGTTAAGGAAACACATGACATGAAATTCAAATGTGCAGCAAATTGGTTATTTAGGGACTGAATAGACAGCACAATATACTAGAAATAAGACCAAAAGAAGGTTAATGTGATGTTGTTCCAGCGCAGTTACTTAATACTTGTCTGAATCCAAACTGTTTACATTTATTCCTGCATACCTGCTAGGTTTGGTCCAAGTATCAGACCCATGGCTATGGTTACCTCCACCAAGGACATACAGCCAGTATTATGCCAAATAACAGAATAGCTCAAAAAAGTTATCAGAATTATGTGGAACGTTAGGCTATGAGGACAAGGAATAAGTGATATATGTACGTTTTTAGTGCAGATCTTTTTTTTTTTTTAAGTGTCAGTGAGAAGTTCTGACCAATGAGAGATAAACACTGTAAAAAAAAATTCTGACTGTGTGCTCTTGGCAGATGTATGTGCTCTCTGAGTTCTTTCTAGATGTCTTTCTAGGTGTGTACTGATACTTGTGTTCTAAAAAAAACTTCAACCTAGTAAGTATAAACTTGAAAAGGTAACTCATACTGTCATTCAACTATCATTCACCAACGTAATGTAATCAAATAACAACTGTGGTTAATGCTGCAAAGAGGATTTGGGGGAAAATATAAGACATTTTATTAGAAGATCAATTTGAAGCAAATCACACAGTAGTTCACTTTGGAACACAATTGTACCTCATGATACAAGATCGAATATACAAACCTGCTCTCTCTCTGCTCAGACTTGTATTCGATGGCAATAAGCAACAGCTTCAGCTTCACGTAACACAGCCTGTAAAACATGTGCACTCATTAGGGGATAGCAGTATATAAACAAATGACTGATGTGTTCAAACACCTTTGAAATTCACATCCTTTACATCCCAACAGTCCATTTCTCTTTCTTTCTTTCTTTCTTCACTTCAGAATTGTTAGCTACCTACCGCTGACAGTGGGCTTGCTGAGGGGGGAAGAGTGATACTTACTCACAGACAGTGGGGAAGGAGAGGCCCACAAAGGCACTGGACAAATACTCTGTGTACATCTCATTAGCCACTCCTTCTAGGTAATACTTCTGCCACGTGTCCTCCTCAATCTGACAAGAAAACAAGCACGGAAATGTCACATGTGAGGATAAAAAAATAAAAAATAAAAAAGGGAAGAAAAAAGCAACACTGTTTTCCTTCCAATCGTGGCACAATGTGGTCTGCAGATGTTCCACTGCACAACATCAGCCTAGTCATTATAAGCTGATCCATCATCTTTATGACATGAGAACAGTTCTTTGATAGAGACAAGCACCTCTTCAATTCTGAGCCACAGAAACACTGAACAGATTCCATATGAAATGTCACAGTAAAATATGATGTGCCTGGATGTCTGAAATCACTCTAATGGAAGTGTTTCTCTGGACAAAGATGTCAAAATTTTCCGGGGAATGTACTGTGTTTGATAGATCTAGTCCATCTGTCAGCAGAGAACCTACTGTATCCACTTATAGTAACCTCACCTTCAATCCCTGAATAAATCATCTAATATACAAAAATTCAATGTGAGAATTCATTCATCCATATTACTTCAGTCTGTTCAGGGAGAGTGACTGAGACAAGGCAAGTTAATCCTGTCCTCTGTGTTACCTCAATGAAGGATCGCATGGAGAAGAGGTTGGCTAGCATGGTGGACAGGCCCTGGGCCAGACAGCTCTGGGCAATGAAGCCTGCTTTCAGCTCCGCCAGGCAGATAGCATCGTCACCCTCCTTCCAGTTCCAGCTTGGAATGTTCAGCAGATGGGCCTTCATCACATTACAGACAGAAGAAATATGCTTACTCGCTTTCTCGTAAAAAGTTAGCATTAGATGAGAAGAATGATACCACTCTCATGTCTGGATGGTTAATATAGAGCTACAGCCAACTGCCAGTTAGCTTAGCTTAGCACAAAGACTGGAAACACAAGGTAACAGCTAGCCTGACAAAAACATAATTCCTTGTAAAAGGGCAAAATTTTGTTTTTAGAATAAGCATATTTCCCAAAATGTCCACACAAAAAAACTTTTCCTTTACATTACAAAGCAATTTTGAATCTGCTTAGAAAGCAGTAGTTGGATAATAATTTAGCATTAACTACTGCTATTTCATTTAATTGTTACAATTGGCCAACTCTCAGACATGTTAGGTATTTAACCCGTCATAAACATTCTGCCTTTTTTGTGAGGGAGGATAGAGAGCAGTTAAGATGAGGTGAGGCAATCAAAATCTCTTACCTTATTGTGATATTGTAGCATTTGTGTAATTATTCTGATCTTAGGATGGTAATTCTTGATCGAAATAACCCTAGAAGATGAAAAACAGGCAGACACATTAAACAATGAAAATGTAACGCCTTATCTAGTCAGTTTCTACTGGTTTCAAAGTTAATAGGATAAAATACCTCATGATGTTGGAGGCGTCTTCAGCATCAGGATCTGCACAATATTTGTTGGCTAGGATAAGGCAGGCATCTGCTGACTCGATCTATGTGTAAAGCACCAAAGAAACAGTTAACATCTCAGTACATGTCCACAGTTATTAACACGCACTGAGTGCTTCTGTCTGTCTTTCTTAGATTAAATTAAACAAATTAGTGGGTTAAACTCTGGCGAGTACCAAAACCATTAGTCATAGTACTGATCAAAGAACCACAGACTTTTTTCCCTTTTACTTTTCACTTTTCTGTCTCTATCCATTTTGTTTAAGAATTTAAAAATAAAAATACATTTAAAAAATACTGTCATCTTGCAATATTTTCTTCTGCTCTCTATACCCACCAAATGATTTACTGAATGGAATTTTGCTCTTAATCTGTCAAATTTCTCTCGCTAAGAGCCCTGTCATCGACTGTACCTTCACTCTGGCCAGATCGTGAGGGTTGAGAACAGATCCCTGGTAGAACTCTACTTGGGTAAAGTGACGTTTGAACAAGGCTTCCAGCTCAAGATTAGGGGAAATACTAGCACACATAGAAAAGAGGAGAAGGGTCAGTGCATGTGTGGGTAACTCATTAATATACAGGCTGACTGTGCATTGTTTCAAACATTGTGTTCTGCTAACCTACACATGGTGAGAAACAAAAAAATTTACTTACTTATGGAGAAAAACAATTTCTACATTGACATCATCCCTGTCCTTGTGTAGGAAGTCTTTGAGGAAGTTGGAGACACTTTCGAGGGTAATATGACCACAGACCACAATATGCCTGGAAGGGGGGAAGAAATCATCTTGAGTGGGCAACATAAATCACTGCAGACACTGGCATGTCTCCCAAAGATAATCAGTCAAACCAAAGCACTCTAACATCTAACTCAAATATAGACTGAAAAAATCTATATACATGTCAAGAAATGTCTTTTCAAAGCAAACAAGTAACTGAATTATATCTTTTTTGCCATAAAAGTGAATATTTTCCCCGTTGTAATGAAAGTGGTTAAATTCTGCACGACAAGTGCAATCAAACACTCAACTCTGAACCACTTTAGAAAATCTAAGATATAATCACACAGCCCACAGTGGTTGGATTGTCATCCGTTCTCAATATAAAAACTGTCCCTTCAGCCAAACCACCCCCTTTGTGATCTGAATGGATGTTGACAAAGACATGTACATCAATATGCTTGTGCTTTTATACAGAACATTACTTAAACTTTCAAAGTGATTTGGAGGCCTGTGGTTGACACAAATTCTAAACAGGACCTCAGAGTATTTGACGGGTCCCCTGGCAAAAACATGAGGGGCATTACAGCAGAGGGATCTGTCAGACGGTGCACAGGGCTGATTACAGCAGCAAGGAAGTACAAGGTCAGAGTGGAACAACTTTTAACTTGAGGTTGTGTCCCTGTTTGTCCTCTGTCTGCACTGTAGGCCAAAGTGATCAAAGGTCAGCTTCACAGTTATACCAACAGTGAGATGAGTCATTTGGATGGAAGTTTTATTCAATTCTGAACTGTCTCAACAACTAAACTTGTGGTGCTTCTGTAAATATTAAGTTCTAGTGTCCCAGAATTGAGAGAAATCGTGAAAATTCCCGCATCATGTATTGGTCACTGTTGTAATATTCATATCACGGTTTTAGGTGATCTTACTCCCTTAATATTATTTTTGCAATATTATAAGTCCTCTAACAAAGTAGGAGAAGTTGCTATTAAAAACAGGTGGAAAGTAATGCTAATAACAGTGAAAATATCTGTATTCAACCATTATATGGTTATGATAGGCAATTTAATCACACTAATCTTGGGGATTTAAGACACTTTATATGCTTCATTTGCACTGTGGTAAGTCGAGCTACCCTTCTGGAGTCAAAGTTAAATGTCACCAAGTCTTATTGCCAAACCCCTAAATGAGAAATCCAAACATGCTCAGTACAATCCAGCCCTTATATTGACATGGATTAGTGTGGACACTCGGCAGACACCCTAATTACCCTATAGAGACCTGTAAGGCAATCTGTGTAATGACAATGGCCTTATCCACTACTTAGCAGGATGTGCCAGGAGACAAATGAACCACTTTAGTTTAGAGTGCCTGGGTATTGGACAGCTTTGCATTTAACGCTATGAGTATTAGGTTACTCTTTCCTAAAATTAAAAAAAAACCACTGTGGTCTTATTTGTTCCCTGTTCCAATTCTTATCATCAAAATAGATTTGTTTCCTTCAATCCGTCATTATAATGCTCTTATACACAAGAAGAATGCTCTGGGTAACACATTAACATTGACATCTAAAATTGTATAGAACATTACTGAAATCTGACTCAGTTTGGCAGGTTTAAAGGAAACAGAGATATTTATTGATGCTAGATGAGAACCATAATCCAGATCACTGAGTGTTCTCCTATCCTGTACCAGATGGACCGGGTAGGGCTAAACTGAAGTGGACTTGGCAAAGTAATGTGAATGACATATTGAGAGAATGGCAGTTTGTGGATGTTGCGGGGCATAATGGTCTTCACAGATGTCGCCTCTGTCCTTTAAGAGAATCTAATGAGCAGCCGTGATTGCGTGGTTGGCCAGAGTTGAGCAGAAGGCCGTGTGGTCTTACAAGCTGATGAGCTGAGATGTCTGTGGGCAGCCAGCAGTATTTGGCACAAGATGTCTCTCATTTCAAGAGACGAAAAGACATCGGTCATGTTTTCCTATTCCCAGTATCCAGATGCCCTTCTCCAAGGGTAAAGGGGAATATACAGATTTTATGGTTTATTATTCGGTTTGTGTGGATTCAACATTAGGTTATGAATCTCAGACACACATACTCACAAGCTGAAGCACAAAACTGAAGGTGTAAACGAATGTGCACGGGAAAAGACACGTGCACACACACTCACACGCTTACAGAAGCGCATGTGGTGCCTGTCTTTCACTCTGAGGAGGGGATTTATTAGCAAGCAAAACTTTCCGCCTCATTTTTAAAACTTCAAATTCTCCCCCTGATCAAGCCACTAATTTGAATCTCTGTGTTTAAGACGAAAATACTGTTGAGACATTATGCTTCACTTGATAGACATCATTAAAGCTGGCATGCCCATCTGAGTTTTCTTTCTTTCTGTGTGCCAATGGTGGCATCAAACTTAACACTGACTAACTTGGATGGTTAAATAGGACATCATAGACAATTCAACCATTTATAATTGCTTCACAAACAACATATCTTCCCTGTGGTTACCCTGATTGTACAGTACAGTGTAAATTATAGACATAGCTAAAAAAGTAACAAAAACAAAATAGAAGCGCACTTCTTTTTTTTTTTTTTTTTTTACAAGAAAAACAATAAACATCAATCCAGAAACTAAAACAAAAAGTGTGGCACACAATGACATTAAATGCAAAAGGGTATTACAGAGCGTGCACACAAAACATGCAGTCAGGGAACATCCCAGGATGTCATTGGGGATGCACTGAATACAAAATGAACAAACAGAGCTCAAACATCAGCAACAGAGGTCACTCACTTGGTACTGCTCTAATCCTTAGGTCAGTGATGCAACTTACTGCAACAACCATCATCAAAATGTTGCAATTTATACAACTTTGTTCCCATTATATACTTTGTCAAAAATCAACACATGTGATGCACTTAGTGATAGTGATAGTATAGTGATAGTGACTGATAGTGTCGAAGTATCTGGGCCTGCACGCCTTAAGTCGCTAGCCCTTACAGAGGACTATCAAAGGTGTATGTCAGAGTTCAGCCAGGGTTAAACCCAGTTTCCATGCCAACCCCACTGCTGAAGCTGGGGCTAATGGAAACCATAGAGTCATAATGGAAACCACAGAGCCCCGAGTGCAGTGGGCGCCAACAGAATGCAACACTTGTCATTATTATATCAGCATACACAAGCTGAGTGCTGTCACTGCGCTCATGGGTGTATGCTACACTGCACAGAGTACTAAAGGCAACACTAGTATGAAACAGAAATTCAGTATGGCTCCAATGTGAGTCTCTCTCACTTCCAAATAACCTTCAAGGCCTGTTTCAAATGACACCGTCCAGGCAAGATCAAATAAGGGTTACATTTAAAATAGTTCTGAATGTATCATGACCTCATTGTTTGTGAGCTCTGTAATCAGTCGGATACTTGTAATCTCCTAATCTCATTTCCATGATAGACTTTTTTTGTGCTGACAGCTGCTAAATGACTGAACCGCCGATGGCAACCCGGTTTTGTCTATGTGTCAGGTCCTATACATGTAAACACCGAACACATACATATCTAAATGATTATGCAAAGAGCCTGGTGCCACTCTAAGCCTGTGTGTTTGGTGGGTATTTTCTGATCGTTACCATATGTTTGAACTGTATGTCTAACCAGAGAGAGAAATGGAAGGGGGTGTGGAAAGAGAAAATAAAGTGTGTGGGAGAAACTATCCTCAGTTTTGACAAGGGCTTCTCTCAACACCCGTCTGTGAGTCTGGGCTGAGGTCACTGGCCAAACATAACATTTCATCAATCTTATCTCAATGACAGGCAAACATTATTGAACAAAGGCTTTTTTTCTAATGGCTCGTTCTACTGCTGACTCTCTAGAATCCACCCCGCTGAACAGAGTGACTGAAACCGATGGGAGTGAGATTGGAAAAGAGAAACAGAGTGAGAAAGACAAGACAGCATAGAAGTAGATGCGCCACAGAAGAAAAGGAGAAGAAAAGAGAAGAAGAAAAAAGATGTCTACCCTCCCTGTTCTGGACACACCACATTTGGATTAAAATAAATCTGTATGCTGAATATCAGTAAGGTTTGAGCCACGAGGGGAGGAGAACAGTACTGCACAATAAGAACTGTGGTAATCTTGTACAGACAGTAAAGTGACCACAGTGTCACACATACTTCATAGTGCACTGGAACCTCTGCTGTGAGAGGTCAATTGCACATATACATAAATAACAAGAGTGTCTGGAGACAAACTCCACAACTACACAAACACGAGAACCAGGCGAGCACCAAGAACCAAGCAGGCAAAGCAAGCCAAAAGCAATTGAGAGCCTCCAATGGGAGCCGAGGCATCCAGCATTCAGGGTGTGGGAGCTGACTGAAGATCAGGGCCAAAGTTATGTCAAGCATTGATGATGCGATGGGCTAGCGGTGACAGACAACAGGAAGATGGCTTTTTTCATGGAGTTCACAATCAATGAAAAAGCCACACGACTGCAGGTCATAGAGAACATGCCAGAAATGATGCAGTTAAAGAAAAGTAATTCCATAAAACATGCAAAACAAACTCAAGCAGAATGAAACAAGAAAAGAAATTATATCCTGCAATGGTCATTGAGATTGATGATACTTAAAAAGACCACCAATAATAATGCACTTGCAGATGTTTAAATCTTTCTATTTTCTTGTGGGAAAAAAATCCTTTAGAAGCGGATAGTAGGGGTTTCATGACTATTTTCTTTCATTTTGATGGATTATGTACTAATTCATCCCTATAGGCAAGACTGTATTATTGAGGGACTGAATCTGAATAGAATAAGAAATGGGACACATAGTGCACAGATATATTGCACAGAAGCACCACAGGTTATTTTACTGCAAGTCTAAAGTGTAGTAGTCATGAAAGCTCTATTTTCCAAATTAAAGCGCAACACAAGATGTTTCAGGAGGACAAAGAAAGAAAATGAACGGCACACAAATGATTTCAGGAAAGCTCTGAGAGAAGGACAGATAGAGGCAGATATAGAAAAAGGTAGACAAAGAAAGAAGAAGAAGACAAGGACAGACAGAGAGAGTAAAAGAGAGAGTAAAGGGGCATGGACATGTGTGTCCTAATGGCCAAGGTCTCCAGTCACGCAGTGTGACTTGACGTTATAAAGTAACTTTACTGTTCTAAAAAAGTCAAGTTAACTAACCCCCAGTAACTATAAACTTCAGGGGCGTGCACTTGAGTCACACAACCACACCTTGTCTGGATTTCAACTTACTTTCTGCCTCGTGTTGAGTTATAACTCCCTCCGTATTTCTTCCGATTAAGGATGAGAGCAGCAATTTCTGGCACGTAGCGAGCAAACATGGCCTACATGCATGGAACAGAAAAAAGAAAAAGGCATGCAGAGAGGGTTCTACCGCACACAGAAAAACAGCAGAACCATCTGGAATACTTACTTTCTCCCATTAACCGCACTATAGGAACCACCATATTTCTTGCGGTTTCCTATTAACTCTATGATTTCAGGGACGTAGCTGGCAAACATGGCCTAAGGAGAAGATAGAAGACAGAAGAAGAGACTAAAAAAGAGACTACTACGCTGCAGAGTGGGTGGTGGGGAAACTGGTGCGTGAATCCAGATTTCTGAGGGGAGAAAAATATTATTTTGCTATGGAAATCCAGTAAAAACTCTCTCATTGTCTGTAGAGAGAGAGAGAGCTTTATAAACCAAAAAACGTTCTATTGCTGTTGAGAAAAAATAGCCCCAGTTTTTAAAAGGTAACAGTTTAGGAACAGGTTTGGTTAGTGGGCAAGAATTTTGTCACAGCTGATGAATATTCAGTCTGTGATAACACCCAAAACCTCTCTGGATAGCAGAATTTTAAAAGCTGAAGGAGAGTAAAAACCTATGTGCCATGTTTTGTCCAACAAACACAGATGATCTGGCAGGTTGATTTGAATAGGCCCACCTGATGGTCCACAGCTGCAAAACACATTAAGACTCATTTGTTGGGCTGGAAAATGAGCTGGATGTATTTTGCAAAGCTTCACAGCCGGTCATCCTAGCACAGGGTTGTGTTTACATCTACTAACTACCAATGGGGTACTGACTGACACTGCTCATCTAGGCTTACATCTACATTAAGAAACAAAATGGTGCCCTTGCCCTTGTAAATCCATACTTAAATCATGCTTGGAAAGTGTATCTATACATTACCAGGAATAATGTGAAATGACGTGAATTTAATATGATCCCTGGCTTTAAAATATCTCCAGCCTGAAGTCATTATTTAGCCACTGCTGCTGATAGGAAGCAGGCTGGGGTACTAGCCTAAAGACTTCCAGAGCTCTCAGCACTGAGAAAAACACAACCTATCACCATGGCCACAACACGGTACACATCCACACAGCTGCAGGTCATCAGTACACAGTGATAGCTGTCCAAATACAGAACACAGTAACTGTGATTTGGCTAGATCCTCCATTTTTTGTAAGAGAAGATGGAGGAGGCAGGGTCTTCAGTATGTGTGTGAGTGCTCACAGGTGTGTGCACCCATGCATGCTTGTGCGTAAGTTACGGTACTAGTGGCAGCCCAACAGGACGCTAGATGAGAGGAAGGTGAGAGAGAGGGGGTGGGAGGCTGCTGTTGCTATGGTAACAGTCAGGCTGGCCTAAGCCTCATCTCCCTGCCCCTGTGTTTGTTGGAATTGTGGGAAGAGACACGGGAGGAGGGGTGTCCTGAAACCGCAACTGCTTTTAAGAGAACAGTAACAACATTATCAGACAATAGCTTATTCTCTAATCAAACAAAAACAGGAATGACACATAAGGGAAAGGAGACATAGGAGCACATAGTACTGTAACTACAGTAGACAAGATACAGTAGGCTAAACAGAAGGATACAACTACACTATGACAAAAAAATAACATTTACTGGTACAGGCAACATTTTAAAAAGAGCACTATTATAAAATATCTTTAAATATACATAATCAAAGCATTTAAATTCATTTTCCAATAATTTACAGAACAGTCTATTGATGGGGGCAGGCAGGATTTAGGAGTGGATAAGGGGAGTAAGGGAGAAAGAAAAGCCTGTTTTACCAAACCACCGAGGATGAAGAAGACCATAAACAGGCGCCCCAAGGTGGTTTTTGCATAGACATCCCCGTAGCCCACTGTAGACATTGTAACCATCAGCAAATAGACACATTCCCAATAGGAAAGTGACTGGGAATTCTGGAAGTTTTCCCAAGGATCCCCTGAGTTTTCCACCTAAAATGGAGATGGGAGAGGGAGGGAAGGACAATTAGACATGACTCTAACCACAAATTTGTAAACAGAGTTTTGCTTAAAGAAACTGTTTAATCAAGTTTGATTAAATCCAGCTACAAGCGCTCATGCATTCGTCTTTGTTGAGGAATATGGTATATTCTTTCTATGCTGAGCTTAGGCTACCATCTAGTGGTAAAACAATTTGATGCTGTACTGAGCTGTTGAGCAGAGCTACAAATAGATAATAAATACTAGACACCAAACCATTGTTTTTAAATAATTATGTATTTTTCTTGTATAATAAATATATCTATATATATATCTATATATATATATAAACACACACACACACACACACACACACACACAATTTCAAAGTTCCAAGTTATACTGTATGAAGCCTTTACAATCTTTAAAAAGTATGAATTGATTGATTGATCTTTCTGAAAGTATAGTCAATTTATTTTGAATTTTGAATTGGTGATTGTTGTCTTGTTATCATTGATCATAATTTACCCTCCTTTAAATTCCTACTGCACACTTCCTACTGTACAGATCAGTGTTAGTGCCAGTACCAACTCTATTAGTCAGATCAGACTGTGCCATAACATGACTGATCCAAATTTTTTTCATCGATCTGATTATAAAATTCAGTGTCTCCACTATGAGTCATTCAGTCTATAATGAGTTTTAGTGCTACAGTTCCACACAGGGGAGTGATTTCAGACCCAGCCAATGGTTCCAGTGAGTTCCATGTGAGGGACACAGATTTTAAATTTGTGAAAAATAAAGTACAGGTATCACATCAGTACTAGATATTGGCTGATATCCTGAATTAAGTCACTGGAATTTGTTTTGGGAGAGGAAAAAGTTGGATCAGCGCAACCCTACTTGGAAATTATTTTTTTATTACAATATCCTTTCTTGGAATTCTTTAGTCAGCAAATTTTTAGACAATAACACATTAGACTATTTGATTTTGAAAAGTGCTGTGTGTTACAGTTGTATCTAACCAATGAGTTAGTTGGTTACCTTCCTTACTGGCTCATTGATCACTAGAATCCACTGGCTTTCATATCTGTTCACTTACCAAATGTATGAACCCAGCAGCTGTGAGCCATGTACTTATGAAGATGGAACACAGGTTCACCAGCTTGATGGAATTGCTGTGTAGAAGAAGAAGAACCATAAAACTCAAAGACTTTAGACCACAATGACCGAAAAACAGAGATTCGTGAGCTCATGAAAGTAACAGCAGAACCTAGCCTTATGTGACTCACAGCCAGGATAGTTGAGATGGGACTTAAATAGATTGTGGGCATATACATAAACAGACAATAGGGAAAATGTACTAGAAAAACAATAAAAATGAACATATAGGGCCAATGACCTGCGGAATGGGACAAAAAGCTTAAACCACAAACATAAAACACATCATTATTAACTCAAGCATACAATTATGATACTTCATAAAATATGCTTAAGACATGTAGTTTAATATAAAACTAAGGGACTGATGAATAAATGAGGAAAGCCTTATTCTTACCTTGTTTTCAAGATATTCAAAAACTGTAAGATTTCTGAAAACTGTATCAATCTTAGTGCTCTTAGGAATCTTAAACCTGTGATAAAAAGAGAAAGACAGACAGAAAAAGAGAGATGATCATCAATTTCACATTAGATTCCTATTCATACATGTATCAATAAGTTTGGTGTTTTCTAAAATATCTTTACAGTGGCAGCAGAGAAATGTAAGAGCGGCAGCTGTGAAGAAAGACAACTCAGTGTAGACAACATTCAGACAGATATGGTCCAAATGTTTTTTCTGCAGCACTTAAGCACAGAACCATACAATGCAAAATTTAGTCAGTGAGACACAAGAAGAAAAACATTTCATATTAGATGATGTATTGGAATTATTTATGCATTCAAACAAGTTAGGAGGAACATTATGTGGCCTAGTTTATATGAGCCTCAGTCTGTATCCAAGAGCAGCTCTCTCAGGGATTAGAGAACAATGCGACACCTGCCTCATTGTCTTTTTACATAACACGACTGATCCCATGGAACGTGTGTGTTCTCATGTCTGTGTGCTCACGTCTGTGGCAGTTTATGTGACAAAAAGTGATATGAATTCTCTCCAGTTTACTTCCTGCAAATCATCATTGGTCACCAATCATGTTCCAAAGACCAACCAACTGTAATAGAAAATCAATTTCAAGATCTGGATTAATGAAGTTATTGCTATTAATAAAGACATTCTGTGCACACCTCCAGAAAATGAATGTATACACAAACTACTGCCCTTACCCCAGTTGGAAAGGATGTGTAAACAGGACCACACTGAATGATACAGTCCTGTCTGCCTTTCCTTTTCCTCCTGTCCATGATGGCCCTGCCTCACCCTGTACCCATTCTGAAAAAGATCGCCACAGGACTTCTTTCGCCTCCATGTCTCTCGGAGGGTCTCCAAATGTGCGTTACTGTGTGTACGCCGGTACACAAGCAGCTTAGGAGGAATCATTCTTTTAGACTAAATCCAAGGAATTCCTTTTACTCCTTTCCAAGATGGGAACTAATAGTCAGCAAGCCAAAAATATTTAGAATTTCAAAAGCGCCTCCGGAAAAGAGATAATTCTTAAGTGAAAAAGAAAGCAAGACTTTTATTTTTCGGTAAAAGGCTTCCTTGATACTGCACCACTAATGTTAAAATCTCCACACTAAATACTGTTAAATCGATGGTCACTGCTGCACACAGACGAGTTAAAACAGACAGCTAGAACTGTATTGTTTGTCAAATCATGTCAGTCTTGCCAGGGACTGTGTCTCTGTGAGCAAAAAGTCAGCTTTAATATAGGTGTTATTTATTTTTTTATTTTTTTATAGTGCCTTTAATCCTCATAACCCAAACAGATTTACCTTTCTCATGCCGCTTTTAGTGTTCTACTATTAACCCGTTGTAGCCATCAAACACAGCCTGTGTTGAACCTATTTTCTAAAAAAAAAAAAGTCTGAATCCTGCCAGGGATTAGCATAGATGAAGATAAAAACGAAAATAATGCAGAACAAAAACAATAATCCTGACTTGAACATGACTGTCCCGTTTCCACAGGGAGATTTTAAAATATCTACGACAATGAGCTGCTGGTAAGATTTATTTTACAATTCAGGGCAGCTTCATTTCAACTTCAGTAAAATCGGATTTTGTCTGAAAAAAAATCTGTCTGTGAAAACCTAAGAATTAAAAGGCTAATGTGACCTCAATATATTTAGTTATATAGTTATCTGTATTACTACTGTATACATAAATAACTGGTTACTAGTACAGAATTATTGAGCAGCAGCTGAGTGGAGTAAAAAGTAAAGGCATCAGTATGCTTCACACAAAGTACTTTCCGGATCGTCAAACAGCATCTGAACCACCGCTCTCGCTGACAACTGGCCAGATGTGAAAAACTAGGCAGGGTTTCAACTTCTCTCTGGCTCTTTTTTTACATTCTTCACACAACTACCTATGTCACTTTTTATGTGTAAAACAATGCCATGAATTCCCTTGAGGACAGACGGTCCAAAGTGTGCAGCATTGTTCCCATTTGTACAATTTCTCGTGTCTCACCCCTCTCTATGACTACAGGCTTTTTACCCCACCTTTGAGTGTGGCCATTTGGAACAAGTACACTTTCGTCCTTAGACGTGTTCAGACAACACATCACATAAAGTAGTTTAAAACATGTGCTGTCCTAAAAGTCAAACCTGTCAGTAAAATGACTTCACTGCTACATGTAGTTGTTTAGTTAAAATCAATGGTGGAACTTTTTGACTCATAAAAAAAAAAAGAATTATATTATGATATTTCTACTTTTACTTAAGTGAGAGGTACAAGTAATTATTTCACTACTGGCTACAACAAAGTGTAACAAATTGATTATGGTACTATATTGAAGCAGATGTGTATGCCAGATAGTAAAGTCAAATTATGGATTGATAAACCTGAGAAATGTCATTCAGGTATTTAATTCAAGAGTGTATAGGGAATAAATAATACAAAATTCAATTTATGCTTGGCAGGACTGTGTATTTGTGTTTTGTTTTCTCATATTCTGTAGCTAAATGTTCTCAAATGTAATTTATGTAATTTTGAGAAGGGGGCCGGTAATTAAATAAGGTTTTCTGCTTTTTCTGCCTTTTCAGTCATTGGATATGATTTTTTCCAGACTGAATATTTTGTGTGAAAGTTTGTGTTAGAAGCATATAAAGAAATGAATAAAAATTGAACTAACATCAACAACCGCTCTGCAAATTTGGCATTGAGAGCACAAACATTAGACATTTTACCAAAACACCCAGTGATGTCGTGATGGAGGCTGCTATGGACTGCATTTTTCTCAATTAGTGTGAAGCATCTGTGTTTGTGTTATACTGTACATCTATGTGTGCGTGTGTGTGTAGGCATGTGTGCGTGGGACAAATGTCCGTTCACATCATCACATCTGAGAACTCACCTCCCAACTGGGGACAAAAATCACTGTCAAAAGAGAATGAATGTAAGTCAGCACAATGTCCTCACAAGTTTGTGTATTTGTGCATGCATGTGTTGAAAAACTCTCAATGAAACTTGGCTCCCTTGAACACGTGTTCATGTATGAGAAAATCTCTTTCCCACACATGCAAAATCCTCTTGCACACACGAGTGTCAGCTGGCCAGATGCTCATTCAAAAAGGGTTTTTCTGGTCTGTGCCCACTCTTACTTCATTGAGGCTTTGCAAGCCAGAGCATAGCCTCTCTCACATGTTCTGGCAGAGCAGCCTACTGGGACATTTTATCAATCAGTGTTCTGGGAGGGTTCATCTGGGATAATACTGACAGTCAACAGCCAGGATTAGATCATACGATGCTATGCTGCACTAAACCCATACACGTGCTACTAGTGTACAAAGCACTGGTTTTTATATTATATATTCATAGGATAGACAGCATGTGCATATTAATGTATAAATTTAACATCAACAAGACATTTTTGCTTGATCGTAACTATTGCCTGTATAATAATGTAAACATGCAATACAGCAAAGAGGCCTAAAATTCCCCCAAATTAGTTTCCCTCCCCTAAATGTACATGGAGGCTTCCTGCCAGTGACTGAAGCACCATATAAGGCAGATGCACTTAAGCCAATGTCAGTTACTCTTCCAGCATAACATAAGGGATCAACAAACAGTATACTAAATCACCACTAGAAGGCAGTAGCAGGTTAGAATCCAAATCCATGGTTAGAAACCATGCCTGAAGGCTACTACAGTACTGTACATTCTCAAAGCCAGTGCAGCTAAACTTCAACAACATTTAGGTTGCTATTATAAAATCAGACAACAACACAGCTCAATAAAATACAACACTTCAGGGTGTAAAATTATCTTTAAATAAGCTCATGGGGCCACTTATTGTCAAAAATCTTTTTTTTTTTTCAAAAAATAATGCAAACCAACATTGCAAATGAGATTAAGGGAGAAATGTGAAGTTGAGTAAGGGCTCTGTAGCCACAAGAGCTAGGCTACTAGCATCTTTCAAACAGTAATATGCTAATCCTATACTGCTAGTACTCTCGTGGGAGCAATGCTCAGTTCAAGTAGTTAAAGGAGATTAATTCCCTTTTCCAAGGAAGAACTCTGCAAGCCCTCTTACATTAGCCACACATCGTTATCCTCCTCTTAATCAATGTCCAATTTGCAGAGGCAGAGAGAACATAACTTGAAATGCATACAGCATATATTTCCTCAGGTGCAAAGTGGGCGAGCACACTACCACACAGCACAGGGCAAAACCCCTATTAGTGGTCTTTTTATAATCTGAGTACACCTCCACTGGATCTCCAACAGTCTTCTCATGCAGGACCGTAGCTGAAAGAGTGAAACAAGAAGTACTGTAATTATGATGTATTACACTGGCTGTAGTGTGTGTTCCCCAACAGTGAACATAAAGAAAAGATGAACAAATCCATGGGGAATAAGGAGCACAGTACACCTCCTTAACAACCACCCTGGGTTCCTCTTACAAAGCCTGTTAAGGGACAGAACACTTAACTAAATGAAAGTAGCACCAATTGTGGATTAGTCTATCGATTATTAAGAAAACCATTATGCCCCTGTCACACTTCCTATTGGAAGTGCATGAAGACCTATAGGGGGGCTTTATGGAAGTGGCAATGTCATTTAATCAACAGTTGCCATCTGAAAGCAGATCAGTAATAAGGCCCTATATCTTGTCATTTTATGAGACTCTTATACTGATTAATTGCACTTATTTTCCTGTCACAACATGGTATATGGTATGTTCTAATTTCCATATTAATACAGGATATAAGCAGCTAATCATGATTCCAGTCCTACCTCCTCAGAGCCTGAATATAAACAGACACTTTCAGCGCCCCATAAGTATTCTGGAAGCTATCACCAGACTGTTAGGGTACACCATATCCTACTGCAGATCTACACACTGTTAATTTTATAACTAAGGATTTGCAACACTTCATGTGGCCTTTAACACATGGACAAACACACCAGCAGTAAATATACACTTTAGTTATGCAAGTTGGAGCTCTGTTACTACTGTATAATACTCTGTGGCTATATATGTCCAACACTGTCAAAATAAACATGCTCTAATGTTTGAAGGAGATGCCACCTCATGTGTCATCCCTGCAAAAATAGTCCTCAAAATTATTCGCTTTTGAAAATAATAGTAATAAAATAAATAAATGCATATAAATAGCTCTGGAATCTAGGGCATCTCTCAAAAACAATAAATTCACACTCTCAGTGGCTGTTTATACACAACAACTCTCACTGCAGCTGTATTGTATATAAAAGGCATCTTTGCTTTCTACATCAACCTCAGATGCAGGATATTTAATGATCACAGGTAATTATTCCCTGCAGAATGACAGGCAGCAGCCAGACCACCATTTCACAGTCTTTCATCATCCTCATCAAGGCACTAACACCAACGGTTTTCTGGGGATGAGATGAGGACATCTTACATCATGAATACCAGTAACTAGATAACTTGACTTGGCCATATCCAATTCATTACACAGCTTAAGAAATCGTCATCACTTCAGAGATTGGACTTTCACAGTTTTATGTTACTTCACAGACTGATTCCAGCAAGGCATGTAAAAACAAGGACACTGTGGGATAGAAGGCACACCCTTCCATATCAGATATAGACAGTTTATATCACGTTAACCAATGATTCAGTTTTATTACAACTTGGGTGTTACTTTCACTATTTTGGCCATCATTTCTATCAGTTACGATAACATTCTTATGTACCGGTAACCAAAGTAATTGGTTCACTACAATAGCATGCAGTTCTAACAGAAATTAACAATGAGCAATAAATGAGTGGTCCAACAATCAGACAGGTAAACAAGTCAACAGTTTAGGAAGAGTATCAACACTAGGGACACAACTAATGATTATACTCTTATGATACATATTACTATTGTTATGTTTCCTACTGCCCAATGTGATGTCTTCAAATGTCTTATTTTTGTCCAACCAATCCCCAGACTGAAAGATATTTAACTAACAATGATATAAAACACAGAAAGTAGCAAATCTTTAAATTTGAGAAGCTAAAACCAGGGAATATTTGTTGAAAAATACTTGTCAATTGTCAATTAATTAACAAATCCTTGCAGCTTTTATCTATATTTGACCTTTAATCCAATCTCTAATTTAAAAAAAAAACTAAAATAAGTTGGGCCTCCTGGTAGCTCACCGGGTTGGATTCCAGCCCAGGTCCTTTGCCGCATGTCATCCCCTCAAACAAACTAAAATAAGCAAACTTCTTTTTAACAATGTTGCCTTGTTCCAAGATCATGCGAGTTGTTAGCAGGAAAAGTGCAGGTCATACGGATAACATTAGCAATGGCTTTGTTCTCTCACAGTGTCCCAGTAAACCATGACAGTGTGACAGTCAACCAGCATGCACAACAGCAGGACTGAAACTGAAGTAGCTAAATGGAATTCAGACATTATACATTTTATTATTTAAACCCATACTTTTCCTTGTATGACATGTCAAAATGTCTTGATTGAAAAGGGCCTATTTCTGATACGTCGGATTAGCCAAAACTACAAAAGACACAGGTTGAAAAAAAGAAAACAAAACAGGATTAGCATTCAACTGAGTTTCTGAAATGAAGTATGGCAGCAATGTATACTATTGTATAAGGTTTTAAAAGTTGAGTGGCAATGCACCCGATAAGAATACAGCCAAAAAGAAACTCTTTTTGGTGCAGTGTAATTTGGGCCACAATACTCTGAACGCACTGAGAAAAGTAGGTCGTTACATAATGCAGGTTAGGGTGTTTTCCAGTCTGCTCATGCAAGAGTGTGTGTACGTGTATATATCTGTGTATGGGGATAACACACTTTTTCTTGTGCATTCTTTTGTGTGAGAGCAAAGGACACCATTAGATGGCAGTTATGGACCGCTGTGAGGTATCCAGGTGCAACGCCTCAACAGGGCAATTACCAATAAGTCTGAAGCACAAACACACACGCAAACAGAACTGCAGCCTGATTCTGAGTCACTCTCACTCCCATTAGCCCATCCACTCTGCTGTGTCTGTGTTCCCTGAAACATCAGAGGAACCAAGGCCTGTCACTTTCAATGATGAGGGAAAGTTGACTGCAGCCCAGAGCAAGAGGGCCTTGGAGACACACTCCCAGTAATGGGGAGACAGAAGGGGGTTTGGGAGGCAAAGGGAGAGATTGGGAGTGATAAAAGGAGGGGTGACATGTGAAGATAGAGGGTAGAACAGAGGAGTTGAGGAAGAAAATTTAAAAAAATGGTGGAAAAAAGCATCAAAATACAAGGCTATATTGATTTATGAAATGGAGAGTGACAAATCGAGATAGAAAGAAACATCCAAAAGAGATACGTAGACTTACCAAGCCAGCTTCTGTTTAAGTAGACAGAGACAAACACAGGAGGAACAGTGAAGAAGTCGACCACTGAGTTGACCTCCAGCCAGAACCACAGCTTATCATTGGCTGCTATAAACTGTCGAAAGAAACAGGGAAGGCATCGAAAATGACAACAAAATTTTAATTTTATACTAAACACTACCACAGCCCACCATCCAAACTGCATGCTGTGTCTTCCTTTGGCATCGCTGACATACTGTATAGAATGACAAAAGCTTCACCCCACTTGCTGAGTCATGCGAATGGTTGGTGGGGTAAGCAGCTTATGAGTTTATTTATTCATTCATTCAGGATGTACGGCTTGCGTTTGCACCACTGGAATGCTGCTCTGGCATGACAGCCATGCTAGCAACATTATAACAACAGTGTCAGTTTTATCTAAAGGCATGCTGTGTGAGTATTCGTAGGTGACTGCTTGTTGTTGGCGTTGGTGGTCATCCTATAAAAATGTTGTGTCTCAAATTATTACTTTGTTTCAAAATTTGAATTCTTCATCTTATAAAAAGATTGTATGGATATTATTGGGATGTGTTTTGGTTGAAAATGATAAGCATGAAATAACTTTTTGTAGGAGGGTAAAGATTTCAATGTATGTAAAACAATGCCTGCCTGCATGGCTGTGTGCATATTATTTGTGCCAGTGCGTTTAACAGCATGTCTGTAAATGTATTCTAGTATATGCATGAATGAGTGAGTGTATGCTTGTGTGCATGTGTGAGCATGCATGCACATGTGCCAACGTACCCGCAGGCCAAAATAAAGAAGAAAGAAGACGTTGAAGGCCATATCGATCTGTAACGTGAAGTCTTTGTAGAAGTTCTGGCAGGATTCTATAGGACTAGAGAACAGAGAGGGAGAGATGGAGAGAAAGAGACAAAAAACAAACAGGGTTATTACAGGGTTAAATCCTCGTGAACTGATATAGTAGAGAATGGTGTTCAATCTCTTTCCTATCGTGAAAACAGAGATGGCAAATACTGGATACCTCAGCACATTTTCATGGTAGCAATGTTATTTTCTGGGCTTTTTAAGTTTGTTTGTTTTTTACAGGTGGTATATGAGCTTTGAATACCAGTGTGATTAGGTAATATGAATGATATCAATCTCCCAATAATAAAAGGAATATTTTTCCGATATGCCACAACATAGCTCTTAATATATCGCTTTTAATCACAGTTTATTTGGAGTTATTAATTTAGCCAACAGAATTTGATAAAGCAATAACAATATGAGCCCATCAGAAAAATATATTACCAAAAGACAATGACTTATCACTCACTCCTAAATACCAGGTTAATCATAATTTTATGCTGTAAATTGTCCTTTTTTTACTGCAGTCATTCATATATAGCCTGATCTTGATCACCTTCTTCATTTCAGCTCACAGGACGGATAAGAAACCATGCTGTGGTACCAACAGGCAGCTTGAAGCTGTCAAGGTCAAATGGTGCTAACCAGAACCCCAGTCTGTGAAAATATCGGATTGAAGGCACTTTTACTAAATTGGTATTAATAATATGAATTTGATTCCAATTTAGTTGAGTTTCAACGACACCCTGCAGTTCCTCCTCTGAGCCCTATAGGCGACCACAGACCAAGATAAAAGACCGAGCTGCAGAGAAAACCACATATAGATGAAACAGCTGAAAATAAACTGAAATTGGTAGTTAAGAACAGTTGCTTTGATGTGACAGTACATTCAGCATGCATAAATTATTCAGCGTCTGTCAAACAAAAATTATTCCAACAGATCTTCCCTCATATGACAGAAACTCCACACAGAGAAAGAGACTGCATCACTCTCTTCATTTAACAGAGTGCAATAGCTAGGCTGGTGTTGCTTAAAAAAAGGCGGATGATGATAAATGAGTCGTGATCTGTCTGGTCTGACATATAATCCATCTTTATGTTTACCCTGTGATGATTAACCATTAGCTATAGTGGGTGATCTCAACAAAAGCGAAAATAAGCAGTGAGCCCACCCCATTCTTCACTTGGTCATGGGCCTATACTATTTTCCTCATGAGTAATGAGGAAATTCCAGTGTGGGAAAATCATGAATATGCATAATGGTTATGCTGGCTATAGGGGACCTTTGGGAATGTATAGACTGGCAAGGGAACACACACAAGGCCATTACAAAAGTATACAGTATTAAGTCCCATACGTTCAAATTAAAGGTTTAAGTATACATTTGTATGCATGAAGTCTAAAGGGGCACAGCGTGAGATCCAGAATGGAGTTTACTGCATAATGAGAACCTCCAAAGGCAGAGAGGAGTGAAGCTTAATCATCATCCATCAAGCCTTTTATCACATGATGGTCCATTTTAAGGGAGTGTAGACATGCCAGAGAAGAAGTATTGCTCCAAGAGGATGATCCAACTTGTAATTTATGAGTGTGTGGTCTTTCTCGAGCAAATCCTAAGGACTGATGTGATCTTTAAGATGATGTCAAAGCCTGGATCATGTCCAAGACGATTAGAATGAGTCAGGTTTATACAGCAATTGTTTAAAAAATGAGACTTTATTGTTTAGAGAGGCATTTTAAATTTAATTCACTTCGGACCCCTTGAAGGAACTGACACTGATCTGGCCTAAACACTCAATTATTTACTCTCCACCGGCATCTCCAAGTGATTCTAGGTATCAAACTAAACAAGGGTGTTAAAACAAACCTGCCATGAATCATACATACATCCTAAGCATACACCAATTTGGCTGTGCTGATTAAATGTAATTTTCTATCAGAAGGGATGCACTGATACCGATACCAGTATTGGGTATTGGGTCCGGTACTGTGCTCATGTACTCGTAATCAGAAAACTACTCCAACAGCACTGCACCCAATACCATTTTATGTCAATGTGATATTAACCTGTTGTTAGTTGAGCAGGCAAGCAGAGGAGAATTGAACGTCAGCAGTTTGGATATATTAGATAAACAACGATAACAAAACATTGCAAACTACACTCTGCTAAATTGTCAAGAGGACGGGTGAAAAGTAGCTCCTTAACAGCTGATGAAAATATAACACGGTTTCAAAGTCATTGTTGAACGCTATTATTAACTACTCATATCAGATAAGAGTGGTATCATGCATCCTTATCTATCAGTATAGTCTGCAGTTTGAGCAAGGCCCCACTCCCAAAACTGATCTGAAACCACAACGTCAGCTCACCCTTACAAGCCTTTGTGCAAGAGAATGCACACACATACACGCAAATATAAAGACACTCACAAGCACATATGAGCACATACACACACAGATGGTGCACACTGAAGACACCATTTGGAGTGGTCACTGTGGCATTTCCCCTTGGGCCCAGCTCTGGCCTAATTCTAAATAACCGTGCATCCACAGTCACGTGATCCAAAGCATTCTCAATAACACAGAGAGAGAATGGCGGCTCACAGCAGGTGCTGAGTGGTACATTGAATTCGCCTTGATTTTGTATTATAGGATACCACAATGGCTCCATTCTGAGAGCGTTAATTTAGTCATTTTTCTAATCGTTCTTTAATAGTAAAGCTTATCATTAACTGAAGTAGTGGGAAGATACATGAGGCAGACCTACGGTTTCTCTCTTAAGCTTAGAAGCACAATAGGAAATTAGGAGTTCATCAGTGGGGTGGGAGAGGTTCACAAAGTCTATTATTGTGGAGCTGCCAAATCTGTTTGAAACACATACAAATGGCAGCATGAACTGAAAAGTAATAAATAAGAATTAAGTGTAGTTATTGTACATGCGGCAAGTCATAATATTTAACTGTAAAAAAAAAAAAAAAAAAATCTTAAACACAGCTCTGCATACAGAGGGGCAAACAGATGGAGCAAAGTATAAGCAAATAGACGGAATTAGATCTACTGTATGAGTAGATCTATGACTCATCATCTATTCACAGACAGCTTAATACAGAGCCATTCTTTCTATGCAAACATCAAAGCAATATTTCTAAAATAATTTCTTTAATTTATTCTGAAAGCTGCACTAATCATTAATGTTATATTGACAAAAATGATCTTAAAGATGTCACTTGTGGTGACAAACCCACAATGAATTATTTCTATTAGATTCTTTCAGGTCACCGTTTTCATTTTACAGCCCACAACTTCACAATCTTACTGCTCTTATCAACCTCGTTTCCAGCTACAACAGGCAGTGGTTTTCAGCTCTGTAAAACCCACTGTAACTTACCTCCCCAGCATGACACACAGACAAAGTTCAAAGCTACTATCTGGTGAACATTTTGGAGCATTTAGCTGCTAAAGAGCCAGATATTTCCTTCAGGAGTGGCTGGAGACCAAAACAGAGATAAAAGAAGTTCATATTGGACTTATACTGGTCAGGTGGCCAGAAACATGACTCCAAATAAATACTTGTGTTGCTTTGTGTCTGCTCAATGCTTAAATAAGTACATGCAACTTTATAAAGGTGATAATACTGTATGTCAACGTTGTGTTTATAACTTGATGTGTATTATATGTAATGCAATTCATCAACAACAACTATGGCCTCAACAATTCTGTCCAGTGTCCAGTTTGCAGCACATGTCTAGTATTAACTGTCAGTGCAGAAAGTGTGTGTATGTCAGTGTGTCCAACATTCACACCAGCAACTAGCGTTTCTGTCATCACCTCACTGGTATAGTCTGAACAAAAACTGAGCATTTTAAGCAAACGTTATACATTTCAGGCTTATTATAATTAGAGTTCCTTATACAAGTGCTTCTGTTATTGTGACCCTGTATCTGTGTCTTTTTCCAACACAAAGAGCATGTAAGACAAGAAACCACATTGGTCCCTGCTTTCAATGTCACTTCACACTCCACAACCACAAGGGATTCCTGGCCACATGCTGCCAGTGTCCTGCAGAAAATAGATCTGCCCACAACAGTTCTTATTACTCCTTAAGCCCTGGCACAGCCTGGGGTTGCACCATCCTGGCTGACAGGAAGAGGAGAGAGAGAGAGAGAGAGAGAGAAAGAAAGACAGCAGCAAGACACAGGGAGATAAAAGAGACAGGGAGAGAAGAGAGGTAGTGACAGTCAAAGGGAGAGGGAGAGGGGGAGATGGGAAAGTGACAGAGTAAAAAGGGATGGGGACCAAGCTCCCAGAGGTCCTGAAGACAATTTGTCTGATACTGTATATACACACAATGCTAGTTTTAGGCCACATGGAAATTGCATGGAGATTCTGGAGCATCTGTGATAACCTCTAGGCTTCTTATATTTGACTTGGTGAAGGCCTGCACTACAGTTCTACCTTTGCTTTTAAGTGAACATACATACATACATGTACACGCACACATTAGCATGTAAGTCTATATCAGGACATAAAATGTTTCCCCACATTAACCTCCTCTGACCAGGAACTCTACCTCTGGAAAACGCAACCAGAGAGTTAAAACTCATTTGTTCACAAGGGCAAAGGAGTATGTTGGATGATGATGTTCTAAAAATAGTCCTAAACACCTTTAGTCAGTCAGCAGGAGCCAGCCATTTGTTAGCCTGCACATGACCTTGGCTAGCTACAGGAGCAACAGCAAGGTTGCCCCCTGAGAAAACAATAACAACAACAGACTGCTGCCGGCTTGACTAATGCTCACAACGACACCAAATCTGAATCATAGTTCATGATGTCTTACTGCTCTAGTAAGCTCATAAGCATCTTGAATGCAGTTACATATTCATAGTTTCATTTATTAGCATTAAAGTCACCCCTGTACAATCAATATATAACCCAAACAGAAAGACATGAATGCATTTAGAATGTGATTTGAGCACAATAACTGAATTTCTGGCATACTTCTGGCGTATTTCTCCTGAGGGTAGTGCA